GTCACAACGAACTCTCCCCCTCTTCATCAAAAACGGCGAACTTGGGGCGAAGGTCGAACGACGCAATACGATAGGGTATCTGAATACTCTCCTGGGTTACAAGTGTCGTTGCATACAAATATATCGGTTAGCTCATATAAACTGGTGGTACAGCTAAATCGTAAGCAACGGAATGATCAGGCAGCCTTTGTCAGCTAGGAGCGCTGGCTCCGGGCTTATTACATCGAGCAGACGCAGCACCCAATCGAATACTGTCAGAATCCGACTAGCAAATCGTACCATTCAACCACCAGTGCCATAGATGGGCAAAAAAGAAAACCTCTCTAAATGCTGAAAGTCCTTACAGACGGTTCGTAGCTGGAATACTAGTTTGATAACAATGGAACAATAGAGTCGAGTCGCTCACGTTGAACTTCTGACACTTAAGCTCTCGATAAGTTCAAGCATGACCCTCTGGGCCTGTATTCCTTGAACACCAAACAGCTCAAAGAAACTGCGTTTGCTCAGTTGCATGCAACCGCCAGAAACTCCGACCAAAGATTACAAAAGACAGTGGTTGGCGGTGTGTTCGGTGCCGCCAGCCCACGTGGCCAGCCGGCCCGCCTAGCCAGCTGGCCAGCTGACCGGCACCTTCGTGCTCCTAAAGGGACGCGAAACCCTCACTTCCCACTACCGAGATCCCAGGGGGCGACCGGTCAGCGGGACACTTGTGATTACCGGGAAGCTCCAAACCCGACCAATGATTTATCAACCAGCGAAAGGTGAAAAAGTTTCATTCCATGCCCTTAGCGCAGAAAACTCCCACAGGGAACACGCCAACTACCTCAAGTGACATGATAGTGAACCGATCAATGTTGACGTGAGCTAAGCTCGCCTACGCGCAGGTCTTGTCGAAAAGATCCATGCCAGTTGTCCCTCTTATTTGTACATGGCATGGTAAAACAAAACCAGGAAGCACATGGACGAAACCATTACGCATATAGTCAAGATGATAGCATATGGGTAGTCAACCTGGGTCCCAGATGGAGCTCGGGCACCAGCCCGCTTGCATCCCATGATGGGATGAGGTCAGCTTACCCACCCGTCAGCTTACCCACCCGCGGCCCTTTGGATTTGAGTATATACCGCTCACCCTTGTTGCAAACTAGTTTGTACACGAGCAGAAAATATCGAACCATGGAGAGCAAAGTGTAAAAATCGAGGCACTAGTGTGTAAGATGTCAGCATATGGGCAGCTCATCCGGCTTCATCATTGAGCCCAAAGATCAGCCCGCATGCGGCCCATGTTGACATGAGCCCAACCTGCCCACATGCATCCATATGAACCCCAGCTCGTGCTGCTTTCCTTTGTTATGCACTCGTTTGTACATGATAAGGAAAAATTCAAATGTGGGAGCACAAGACAGCAAGCCTAGTGCCCTGTGCCAAATATGGTAGCGTATGGGTAGTCCATCTGGGTACCAGATGGAGCCCAAATACCAGCCCTCCTGCAACCTACATGGACGTGAGCCCAGCTAGCCTATGCTAAGCCCATACGGGCCTCAGTCCAGCCAGCTGTCCCATGTTGCGAAATAGTTATACACGATATGGTGAAACTTCAAGACAAAAAGTAATTGACCAACGCATAATTGTGTATGTGGCAACTTGATTGCGTATGTAACACATAGACAGCCCATCTGGGTCGAATATGGAGCCCAAAGACTAGCCCCCTTCCGGCCCATGTTGAGACGAGCCCAAATTACCCACATACATCCCACATGAGCCCCAAACCGTGCTGCTCTCCTTTGCTAGGTATTCATTTGTACATGATAAGGAAAAATCCAACGCGGGAGCACAAAGTAAGAAGCTTAATCAACCTGCGCCAAATACAGAAGCGTATGGGCAACCCATCTGGGTAACGAATAGAGCCCAAATACCAGCCCACCCGCAACCTACATGGACGTGAGCCCAGCTAACCCACGCTCAGCCAAAATGGACTCATTCTAGGCACCAGTCCCATCTTTTAGAATAAGTGTACACGGTATGGTAAGGCCAAGGCAGTAAAAATAATTGGCATACAAATCAATATTGAGTGTATGGAAAGTATATTGCGCATGTAACATGTGGGCAGCTCGTCTGGGCCCCAGAAAAAGCTTAGATACCAGCCCACCTGCGGCCCATGGGCCAAGCTTGCCCACATATGGTCCATGTGGATCCCACCAAATCAAGCATTCCCTCGTCGCGAGTTATTTCTCCTTGATGTGCTAAATTCTGACAGGACAGTACAAGGCACAACATTTCTGGTGTATGCGAAAATACGACAAAATGTGGGCGACCCGTGTAGGGCCCATCTGGAGCCTATTTAAAAGCCCATATGTAGCCCATGCCCACAGTCCAGATACCCCAGGTTTTTGTGGGGCAACTGCTTTTGTTTTACCAGGGGTGTCAATATTTGTGAATTATTGGAGGTGGGGACCGGACCGAATGTCCGACAGCCTAACCACCCTCTTCCCATTTTGTTCTCATCGGATTTGGCCCCCTTTATTTTGATAAAGCACGATGCATTTTTAAATATCTGTATTGTTTATAAAGGCTTTAATTTAAGCAGTACAGAAGTTATGCAGGGTTAGATCCAGGGAGCAGGCAGTGGACGCACACGTCTCTTCTGATCGGGACGTGAAGGCGTCCCTTTTAGAGGCCACTTTAGGGCGCCGATGGCTCTCTTCTTTGACGGTCATGGGAGACGGCACGCATTTTGGTTGTGGGGGACGGGAGCGGGGTTAGCCATCAAGGACTTAGGCCATTCCCTTATTCCAGAGCTTGTCACTTTATCCTTACAAACCATTGCTTGCCTTATGGCGCTAGGCATGTGAAGTTTATTGCATCGTTTATCTGCTCAGCTGCCATTATTTTCATCTTGGGTGAGAGCAGCCATGACTTTTTGTTACCAATGCTGCGGGGGGGATGTTAGGGCTCTCGAAAAAGAAAACGAATCGACACCCGTGTTTATAACTTTTCTGCGGCGCATAGCTCCTGCGTTATTGCAATGCTGAGCGCATTCATAACTCCAATTAGTGTCGATATTGTGCAATAGGAATTGGGATTTTTGCGTGGCAGATGAATAACCATGCTAAAAGTTATCCAAACCCAGGTTTCAATTCCAACATCACTAAGGCAAACATTGTCTGCGTGCGATGAACTAAAAACAAACGTTTTCTCGAAAAATATTCCAGCCGATTAAAGGCATCGTGCTATCTAGCAGTGCATTACCATTTCAAACGGGGGCTTTCCGGCGCAGTTGTGTCGAAGCCGATGCCAGCACAGAAATCGCTGCGGCGGGTAGGTGCTGTTTCATATCTTATTGGTCTTGTCCCGGTGTACATTGATTGGGGAACATTCAGCAGCTGGTAAGTAAAGTTTGAATGGGGCTGATAAAATATCAAAGCAAAGGATTCTGGTTCAATTAGCCAGCACTGGAATGTTTGTGTGTATATATATATATATATATATATATATATATATATATATATATATATATATACATATATGTGTGTGTGTGTGTGTGTGTGTGTGTGTGTGTGTGTGTGTGTGTGTGTGTGTGTGTGTGTGTGTGTGTGTGTGTGTTTGTGTGTTTGTTTGAAATACTCTCTGACAGAAAGCTGGTGATACTCCATCTTTCATTGGCCAAGCATTCATAAATTATGATGATCACAGCATGTCAGTGTCAGACATGTTTTTGAAATATGCTCCGGCTAGAAGGCAGGCATTAGAAATAAACATCTTTTTTTGATTGAGATGTATTCACACCCCATGGCCCTTTGACTAAGCATTCAACTGTTATGGAAATGATCACCTTATGTTAGTGTCAGACATGGTGACCATTGTTCTGTCAGTCAGCATGTTGTCACCCTGTTTAGGTGATCGATGTCAGCATGGCTGTTTGAATGAACCATAAGAGGGTCTTGGTATAAACCTTGCAATATATTTGATCATTCCTAAAGAGGGGAGGTATGCTACAACAGTTAGTATGGTTTCAGTTTTGCTTGCACCTTTTACAACAAATTTCATGTTTGTGGCTTAAATCTAGGATTTTTAGGCCCTTATTCTCAACCTGAGATTGAAAATAGGAGTGTTATAACTGTGTGCCATTATTAAACCCTTAAAATGTAATGGTAGGCAGTTATGTTATATGTGGCTGAGTATCATCATAAAAGTCCATGGCATGCTACTCCAGCTTTCTTTCTCATGCTCTGACATGAAGCTGGTCATATTACTGCTCGCTTTCCAGTTCCCAGTGCCATCTCCTTGTAACAACACCAGTTCTGCAGCACTGCCAGAAAAGATAAACATAAAAACTTACCAGTTACTGAAAGAGCCCTCCAAGAAGTGTTGGAAATGGTCACCACTGTATGCAGTTGTATTGGCCCAAGTTCTGCAGACCTGATTGCTTGGAGGATAACATTGAATGGAGAACATTCAGTATTATCAGCCTTTTTCTACTTTTGACCATTTGTCTTCATTTTTAGATAAATCTTGGCTGCCAGCTGCATTGACTCATTGTCTTCAAGTCAGCATTAGCCCTAGTGGTGGGTTCACCTCCTGCACCTGCATCTCCTCCAGAGTGTCCATTGCTGAAGAACGCACCAGAGCACGAGGAGCCCACCAGAGCACACACAGTCCGGATAGCCCAGCACAAACAGTGGAACCAGTGCAGTGAAGACTGGTGGCAGCTGGCCGGTGTGTCTGCTCAGAACTACAGCATTGCTGCAGTGCCGTCCAAGCCATATGCCAGGTGCAGTGAAGAGGCGACGGGCGCCCCCGGCCGGCGGCTCCGGTGACGCCGCCGCGCCGCCGCCGGAGCCGCCGGCCGGCCGCCAGCGGCGCGGTCTCTCCGAGGGCACCGTGCAGCGGCTGATCCTGCGCGCCGCCGTCTTCCTGGCCGCCGCCGGCGTCTACCTCTACACCCGGCAGGTGGGGAGAGGGGCGCGCGCGCGGCAGCTGCGAACGCAGGGTGGGCTCCGATGGAGGTATGCTAGATGGCACATGAGGAGTGCTTGAGGGGCATTGCAGCGGAGCGCACCTGACATGGGGCAGGGTATGTGACAAGCCACAGTACATAGCACAAGATAGAGTGTATGTCGCAAGACATGGCACATATATAGTCTAATCATGTGGAAATGAAAAGTATGCCATACCTGCACCAAACATAGGGAGTCAGGACAGGTACGGGTGGGGAGGAATAGAGTGCAGTTATGGTTGGGGATACTGCACACACGCTTCATCTGTACTGGTCTGGCACGCCTGTAATACAGGAATGACCTCAAATGGTATGTACATTGAGGGGTGTGCATGCACATCATTGGTTGTTCCAGGAATTTGCGTTGAAAACTACAGTGATCTTAATCACCGATAGGGTGCACGACAGAGCCGATAATGGATCTCCTCACCAGACGTGGAGGTGGGGGTGACTGATGGTCAGCAGCGTCACACATCTCTGTGGGTTTTCGTTTCATAGGGAAAGGTTCTGGAGCTGGCCACCATCAAGGACAGCATCGGCAAGCGGTCGCAGCCGGTGGACTGCTCGCCCAAGTACGCCGCCGAAACGGTAAACTTTCCCGGTGAGTCGGCCGGAGATGCGTGACGACTCTGACGCGCGTGTGACGACTCTGACGCGTCGCATCTGATCCAGCGCTGGTCGTCTTTTTGCGTTATGCGGCGGGTGCTATGTCCTGCAGTGAACGTCTGATGATCTGTCGTCTGTATGAACGTAATATGATCTATGAACGTCTTATGACTAGCTGCCTTTGCTGCCATAGGGAAACGTTGTACCAGTATTGGTGTTTCGTACTGGGATAACCGGTAATTAAATGTTTCCCGGTATTTTCGACGGCTCGTCGTGTCGTATGTGTACGCTGACATCGCCACATCTGTGCCCATGTCCTCTAAACCACCCTTTCCGGTATCCTCTGAATCACCCGTGTCAGTGTCCGTGTCTGTTGACTCCCCGTACTCTTATCCGTGTCCGTGTCCGCAGGCTCCCCCGTACTCTTGTCCGTGTCCGTGTCTGCTGACTCCCCCATACTCATGTCCGTGTCCGTGTCCGCAGACTCCCCCGTACTCATGTCCGTGTCCGTGTCCGCAGACTCCCCCGTACTCTTGTCCGTGTCCGTGTCTGCTGACTCCCCCGTACTCATGTCCGTGTCCGTGTCCGCAGACTCCCCGTATTCATGTCCGTGTCCGTGTCCGCTGACCCCCCCCCCCCCCCCGTTCTCATGTCCGTGTCCGTGTCTACTGACTCCCTCTTACTATTGTCCGTGTCCGCGTCTGCTGACTCCCCTACACCCATGTCCGGGCCCGTGCCCGGCGTCCGCGTCGGCTGACGGACCGGCGCCGGCAGGCTGCTCGCCGTCCCGCTGCGGCCGGCTCATCTCAGACCGGGTGGTGACGCCGCACGAGGCCCGCACGCTGCGACACATGGCCAGCCGCGCCTTCGCCCTCACCGGTACGGTCTGGAGACGGCCCGCCCGCCGGCCGGCCGGCGCGGGCCGGGGGCGCGACTGTGGGGGGCCGCGCCGCCCTGTGTCCCCTGTCCCCGCCCCTCCCCCTGTCCGGGGAGGGAAGGGGCTGCTGGGTTGTCTTCGGCTGTCATCGTGCGTTTGTGTGCTGCGTCAGCGCGTGTGTCAAGATGTGGGCTATGGGACATTGACTAGTCCGTAGTCCTGGATGGTATCAGTTAAGTCAACGTGCGCTGTTTATTTCGCAGCTGTGAAGGATGTTGCTCCCGCGCCATAATCCCCAAAATTACTTAAATTGTGATAAATTTTGCATGGCATATGCATGCATGTATGTATGTATGTATATATGTATGTATGTATGTACGTATGTATGTATGTATGTATGTATGTATGTATGTATGTATGTATGTTGTCTGTCTGTCGGTCCGTCTGCCTGTCTGTCTCTATCTGTCTGCTTGCGTGCGTGCGTGCGTGCGTGTTTGAAAACGCATTTCTTTAGAAGCCAGTCATCTGCAGAGCCGTTGGCAGTTGCGAGTTTCGATCGTGTGGCCGCCGTCTCTCAGCGGCTTGATGACCTGTTTGCTGGTACGACTAGCACCCGACGGTACCTCTGTACCCCGGGTATCATGGGCCGTCCGTACCTCGTGCACGACTGCCGGCTCGCGCAGCCTCCACCTGGACGTTGGCGGGGGGGGGGGGGGGCTGTCAAGTGTCCGGGTGGCTTTCAGGCGAATGTGTTTACGACATTGCGGCTCGCCCTCTCCATCTGTGCCCTCTGTGATGAACGTGCCGGTGGCGAAGAAAAAAGTCTAGTCTTACGGAAGTTATCCTCAAATTCTTAACCATTATCTTTCCCGTGCTGGGGTTTTAGTGCATACCAACTGTGGAGGCAGTAATTGCGCTCTAAATTATTTAGTTTATTACATTTAAAGGAAATTTTGTCATAAATTGTGTTAGTTATAATACAAATATGGCTGATACAACTCATCTAGTAGTCAGACAATTCAGTAGTCGTCCAAAAACGTTCTACACATATACTTCTTGTGTGTAATAGATATTCAGTTTTTATGTGGGCAGTTGCGGTTTTGACGTGGAAGCCTGCTTGCAAATTCCACGTACCTGTTGGTTGTGAAAGTTATCAATGTGTAACATATTGTCACAAAGCTAAGGGCATTTTCGGGACGCTGCACTGCCACGCTCTGTCCTTACCCGAGCCGTGTACGTATAGTTCGCCGCGTGTCCACCAGGCGGCTCTGGTGGCGGCGCCAGTATCCTGGACCTGCACAGCGGCGCTCTCTCCAAGGGCAGCGCCTTTGTCAACGTGTACCGGCTGCCCGAGGCCCACGACCTGCTGAGCGAGGACGACCTGCGGCTCTACACGTGAGCGTGCTGCACCGTCAGCTGAAGGCCCTGCTGGCTCCAGCCGGGCAGCGGTACTGTCCTGGGATACCGTTCTGTTGTGACACGGCCTTGGGGCCGTCCTCTTCCTCTCGAGTCGTTTGGTGGTCGGTGTCGGTTAATAGCCCGTCCTGCGTGTTTAGTGGCGTGTTATGAGCCCTCTCCGCGTCACGCTATCAGGAGGCGCTCAGTCCACGTGGGTCGAGTGAATCTTTCAGTCCACATGGTTAGTCCACATGTGGATCACGTGGGCCGTCCGGTCTACATGGTCGGTCCACACGTGGGTCACGTGGATCGTTCGGTTCACATGTGGGTCACGTGGGCGTTCGATCCACATGGTCGGTCCACATGTGGACACGTGACCATTGACGGGCAGCACAGTTCGTTCCGCCGCGTGAGCTCCGTACGTTCCGCTCGCCCGCCTGTGGGTCTCGCTTCGCGTGCCGCGCGGTGGCCGCCCCTCCCCCACTGCCCGGCGCGGCCGGTGCTGCTGTTGACCCGCCCCGGCCCGTCCCGACCCGGCAGGGGCGTCAAACGGCGTGTGGCGCAGCTGGTGACGGAGCACTTCGGCCTGGAGGGCGGCGTGCTGCACCTGGCCAAGCCCACCTTCTTCTCGCGCATCACGGCCGCGCCCGCGAGGACCGTACATGACCAGTACTGGCACTCCCACGTCGATAAGGTGGGACGACCGGCTCCCCTGTCGTGTCGGGGAGGCCAGAGAATCGGGGCTCGTGTGCGTGCGTGCGTGGGTTGGCGCGCGTGTGTGTAGGAAGATGTTTTGCTGGCGCTGGCGCGGTTGTGTGAACGATGCTGCGTGTGCCACACCTACGCTTATCCGGACAAAACTATCGGATGTAAATAAGTTCGAGCAGGGGCAGTTTTGGTTAGATGTGTGGGTGTTGCGAACTACTTGAAGGGAGTGCCCCACCGTTGGGGCATATTTCAAACGCACACTCTTGTTAAACCTCAGAAAACCTCACATCAATAATAGCGCTAGGAAGTGCCACAGCATCACCGTCAAGACATATCTTTGTGTCGAAACAGTGTTTCAGCCTTTCTTAGCATGCATTACACAAAGATTTTGACACGTCATTGTGTTCCAAAAATTACAGAACACACGTTGGGAAAAGGAAGGCAAATTAAATGTTTTAGTTTCATATCGGTGATCAGGGAGTCGATTGAGGACTCGCAGGGTCGGATACTTCGAATCACAATTTGGCGCTATTTAGAAGGGTTTCGGGAAAGCTGGTATTGCTGATGGAGTCGCGCGTGGCTGATGTAACAATAAGTGACAAGTACAGAAAAGGTGGGATTCTCCCTTAAATGACATCAGGGACAATGGTCAAGTGTGGAAGTTGTCTGTAAACAGTCGGTGGAGAGCGCCCCGCTTCATCGCTGCCCGCTGCTCCAGGAGACGTACCCCTCCTTCCACTACACCAGCCTGGTGTACCTCAACGACTACGGCTCGGACTTCACGGGGGGCCGCTTCATCTACAACGACAAGGACGCCAACCGTACCATAGAGCCCAAGGCAGGTCAGTGAAGCCGATGGCCGGGCTGCCATTGTCCAGCCACACTGACGGTGGCCGATCGGGCCCAGTTTCCCGTCGCCAACATTGACACCCGTCTCTGATCCGGGGGGGGAGGGGGCTCGCCGCGCCCCGTGACCCAGCGTCGTCCGTCGCGTGTCGCCCTGGACGTGGCCGCCGCGCTGCTCCAGTGCGCCAGCGTCGGCCTGCGGTCGGTGCTCTCCCTCGGCGCTCCACGCCGCCGCTGTCTCGTGTCGTCGCGCCCTGCCACGCTTCGCACCGCACCCGGCGCTGCTGGCCCCGCGGTGATACGGTGCTCGCGGCGCCGTCTTGACCGCGGGCATCCGCAGTGTTGCCTCTGCCACGCGTGTTGTTTGGCCGGTGCCGCCGCTGCCTCGCGTAGCCGGCGGCGTCGGTGTCGCCTCCCCAGCCAGCGTCGTGTCCGCCGGGTGTCCGCCCCAGCCAGCGCCAGCGCCATGTCCGCCCCAGCCGGAGCCGTGTCCGCCGGATGTACGCCCCCCCCCCCCCCCGTCAGCGTCGTGTCCGCCGGGTGTCCGCCCCCGCCAGCGCTGTATCCGCCGGATGGCGTCGTCGCCGGCGCCGGTACTGACCGACTCTCAACCCGTGCGCCGCAGGCCGGGTGTCCGCCTTCACGGCCGGCTGGGAGAACCCGCACCAGGTGGAGCCGGTGGCAGACGGCGTGCGGTTCGCTCTTACGGTCGCCTTCACGTGCGACGCCAGCCAGGCCATCTCCGACCCGGCGCACGCCGGCGCCGCGCCCTCCGGGCCCAGCCGCTGACCTCGCCGGCGTGCCCCGCCCCTCTGGGTCGCTCCGCGCCTTCGGTGCGCTCTGCGCCTTGGCGGGTTGTGGCGCCGCGCGCGTCGGCGGTAGGGATTGACGGCCGGCTGTCCCCGGCAGTGGCCGGCCCGTCGGTGCCGTCCGGGAACCTCGAGAGGGTGCGGGCGGCGGCGGGTGGGCTGCATGGTGTTGACCTCCCGGCGCACTGGCTGTCGGGGCGGCCGGGGGTCGTGTTGTGGCCCCGCTCCGGCAGGGGTACCGCCATCTCCCACCGGCGTGTCCTTGGCGTGTCCGTGCCCTCACCCGGGTGCTGTCCTTCGAGATCTGTTCAGTGCCTATGCGGTCGGCGAATGTCTTTAATATAGATCTCAGTACCTGCCAAACATGCAATATCGAAATTATGCCGGCGTCGTGTCGCGACGTTCACAAATTCGCTGGCGGTGGAAGCCCGGCCTCGGTCTTCTCGGGGCCGGATCCGTCCCATCCGCCATTGATAACGGGGGCGGCGATCTATCGGTTGAGCGAGTGTGCCGCTTCGTCTTCTTCCGCGAGTCATTGAGTTGGTGGCGTGGCGTTAGCCAACCTAGCATTGGGATAAAGCTGTGGTTAGTGTTCAAAGCAGGGCTCAATGCGTAGCGTGGGCATTGGTGTGGTTTTGAATTGGTCACGCTTTGCGGGACTGGTGCGACATTGCTGGGTGTTTGATTTTACGTGCGTTAATTATGTGATTAGTTCTGAACCGATACGTGTGATTCGTCGCAATGGTGGTCATGCTGAACACTGCGGCACGATTCGGAAGTTTTTCATTTTGACTGGCATAATGGTATGTATTGATTGTTTTATCTTCTTTTGGTGTCGTGACCGGGGTATTAAGCTTCGGGGCATTCCTTGCATACGATGCGGTAATGTAGATTCGCAACCTACTCGTTATCGACTCATCATTCCTCTCGTGACTTGTGATACTGTATGGTTCAGGTATTGGATGTCGCAAAATACACAGGCCAAGCTTCGTGATGTTCGTCCGTATTGTCATACAATGGCCCCCGATTGTGTTCAACACCTGTTATTTCTCACACACACAACATGGAAGCGCCGGTGGAAAAGCTGAGGTACTCAACAACAGAGCACTCTTCTCTCTCAAACAAGCCACTCTTCAAACTAACCCATCTCAGATGGCTGGTGGCAGCACTACCAATCACCAAAAGCTTCGCCTCTCCGACGACGCGGAGACAACGCCGCGCTCGTGCGTGATGCTGCAGCGCGGAGAAAGGTCCCTGCTCACAGCCGGGAGGGCGGGGAAAGATCAGATCGCCTGCGCTTCGCTTCAACGGGTACAAAACGCGACGATCTCGGGGCTGGAGCCGCCGCCGTCCGCAGCGTCTCTGTCGGCGTCCGGGACACCACGCTCAGGACACGCGCCACGCGCTGCGTGCTGGAATGCTTCTACTCTTTGAGCCACGTTACCCGCTGCGCAGCCCTTGCGGTGCGAGGAGCTCGCGCACGTCTGGAGAGCCGTGAACAGCGAACGCAGGGGGCCTCTGCGAGCCACTGTGAGACCAATCAGCGCACACTGTGGCGTGGGAGCACCCGGACTGTGAGACGAATCAGCGCACACTGTGGCGTGGGAGCACCCGGACTGTGAGACCAATCAGCGCACACTGTGGCGTGGGAGCACCCACGCGGCGCGCTGACAGACCGCTCCGGACGGGGAATGGCCGGGTTCGTACGCCGACAGCTGAGAAAGCTTACGACAGCCAGACAGTGCTGAACCCCCGCCCGCTTAAACTACCACACATTTGACAGGCAAACATCACACAGTGGAGAATAACCCGATCACGAACTGAGAACTGCCAGCCCCGCTCCATACTGACCCCACCCAAAAAGCCCTTCGGCGTGGCTGGCAGCGTGACCCAGCGACAGCTTAGCTGCACTCACATCTCCGCCCTTTTCTGACTTAAATACCAACGGCACGGCGTGCGCGTGTACCGGCCGCCGGCCGTAAGGCACTCTTCCCACATTCTCCCGGCGTGGGAACGCTCCTATGTCCAGAACATCTCCCAGCTCCAGCCGGGAGCGGGCTCCCCGGCACCCGTGCGTCTCACAAAAGCAGCCGAGACGTCCTCGGCCGGTCAGGGTGCGGGGTGGGGAGGGCGGGGAGCGGCGCCCCGCCGCCCGGCGGCGACGCTCCGCCCTCCTCTCACAGCCCCCACCCCCGGTCGCGCCCGGGCCGGACGGCGCTACAACAGGTCGTAGAAGTAGTCGAGTCCCTGTCCCAGCTCCCAGATGGCGACACCGACGCCGAGCTCGGTGGCCAGCCGCAGGCGCCGCGCCACCGACGCCAGCGTGGGGAAGAACACCGAGTGCTGGCCGGCGGCGTCCTTCAGCTGGAACAGGTGCTCGGCCGACGCGTCGTCCCAGGTGGCCTTGGCCTGGCGGCTGCCGGCCAGCAGGGACACGAACTGGCCGCCCACGATCGGGCCGCCGCCCTGGCTGCCGACGGGGGAGGGGGAGGGGGTCACGACGCTGTCGCCCGCTGGCCCGGGCGCCGGAGCGAGGGGCGCCGCGGTCTGAGGCACGACTGAACAGACAGACACGCAGGGATGGGGAGCGCGGGACGTCGGGGCATGACGCGACTCCCGCATGCCTGGTCGGTACAGCGTTCCAATATTCGGCCACTTGGGTGGCAGGGATGTCGGTATTTTGTCATGCTCTACAACCCGGCTTGAGGCTCTGCCCGTTGCCCCTCCCCTTGCTCAAAACCGGCCAATCAGCATGGAACCGGGCGGCCGTCAACCCAGTATCCTAGGCGCCTCAGGCTTGACAAACGTGCTGGGCAGGTCAGATATCTGGGCTCGGGGTCAAAGGAAAACGGATTAGTGCCAACGAATTGCGTGCGGGGCCGCCGGAGAGCCGGGATTCTATTAGCATGAATTCATATTTACATCCTGCATACCCCACTGGATGAATTTTGGAACGCTGGGTCGGTACTGGAGCAACAGGACAACCCTGGGAACACGTGACGCCTCGCTCTCACAGGAGCGACAAACGCGGCTGGTATCAGTAGGGAGCGTCGGCCCACCGTCACACGCAGTGCGTAATTAATCAAGCAGATGAACCATCACGGAAGGCTCGACAAACGCCGCTGGACAGGCAGGCCCACCTGGTGTAGTCGTTGCCGTAGAAGTTGAGTCCGAGCAGGATCTTGTCGCGGTCGGCGGAGGTCGGCGCCAGCGCCTTCACGCACTGCTCCACCCAGCTGATCGGACTGTTGGGGCCTGCCGACGGCGCGAGGTCGGCTCATCCCGTGCCCCACGCCAAGGCCACCAGCGGGGTCACGCGGGATCGGCTGCCGACCCGGCCACGGGGAGCTCGTCGCAGGGGTATGGACCACAGATCCCAACACCGCCGGGTCAGGAGGCGGGTCCGGTGGGGAGGAGGAACGGAGCGTGCCTGAGCACTGTCGGTTGGTGGCTGGGACAGCGTGCCGGAGCACTGTCGGTTGGTGGCTGGGACAGCGTGCCGGAGCACTGTCGGTTGGTGGCTGGGACAGCGTGCCTGAGCACTGCCGGGTGGTGGCTAGGACAGCGTACCGGGGCACTGTCGGGTGGTGGCTGGGACAGCGTGCCGGGGCACTGTCGGTTGGTGGCTGGGACAGCGTGCCTGAGCACTGCCGGGTGGTGGCTAGGACAGCGTACCGGGGCACTGTCGGGTGGTGGCTGGGACAGCGTGCCGGGGCACTGTCGGTTGGTGGCTGGGACAGCGTGCCGGAGCACTGTCGGGTGGTGGCTAGGACAGCGTACCGGGGCTCTGTCGGGTGGTGGCTGGGACAGCGTGCCGGGGCACTGTCGGTTGGTGGCTGGGACAGCGTGCCGGGGCACTGTCGGTTGGTGGCTGGGACAGTGTACCGGAGCACTGTCGGGTGGTGGCTGGGACAGCGTGCCGGGGCACTGTCGGGTGGTGGCTGGGACAGCGTGCCGGGGCACTGTCGGTTGGTGGCTGGAACAGCGTGCCGGAGCACTGTCGGTTGGTGGCTGGGACAGCGTGCCGGAGCACTGACGGGTGGTGGCTGGGACAGCGTACCGGAGCACTGTCGGTTGGTGGCTGGGACAGCGTGCCGGAGCACTGTCGGTTGGTGGCTGGGACAGCGTGCCGGAGCACTGTCGGTTGGTGGCTGGGGCAGCGTGCCGGAGCACTGTCGGTTGGTGGCTGGGACAGCGTGCCGGGGCTCTGTCGGGTGGTGGCTGGGACAGCGTGCCGGAGCACTGTCGGTTGGTGGCTGGGACAGTGTACCGGAGCACTGTCGGGCGGTGGCTGGGACAGCGTGCCGGGGCACTGTCGGGTGGTGGCTGGGACAGCGTGCCGGGGCACTGCCGGGTGGTGGCTGGGACAGCGTGCCGGGGCTCTGTCGGGTGGTGGCTGGGACAGCGTGCCGGAGCACTGTCGGTTGGTGGCTGGGACAGTGTACCGGAGCACTGTCGGGTGGTGGCTGGGACAGCGTGCCGGGGCACTGTCGGGTGGTGGCTGGGACAGCGTGCCGGGGCACTGTCGGGTGGTGGCTGGGACAGCGTGCCGGGGCACTGTCGGTTGGTGGCTGGGACAGCGTGCCGGGGCACTGTCGGTTGGTGGCTGGGACAGCGTGCCGGAGCACTGTCGGTTGGTGGCTGGGACAGCGTGCCGGGGCACTGTCGGTTGGTGGCTGGGACAGCGTGCCGGGGCACTGCCGAGTGGTGGCTGGGACAGCGTGCCGGAGCACTGTCGAGTGGTGGCTGGGACAGCGTGCCGGAGCACTGTCGGTTGGTGGCTGGGACATCGTGCCGGAGCACTGTCGGTTGGTGGCTGGGACAGCGTGCCGGAGCTCTGTCGGGTGGTGGCTGGGACAGCGTACCGGAGCACTGTCGGTTGGTGGCTGGGACAGCGTGCCGGAGCACTGTCGGTTGGTGGCTGGGACAGCGTGCCGGAGCACTGTCGGTTGGTGGCTGGGACAGCGTGCCGGGGCACTGCCGAGTGGTGGCTGGGACAGCGTGCCGGGGCTCTGTCGGGTGGTGGCTGGGACAGCGTGCCGGAGCACTGTCGGTTGGTGGCTGGGACAGCGTGCCGGGACACTGTCGGGTGGTGGCTGGGACAGCGTGCCGGGACACTGTCGGTTGGTGGCTAGGACAGTGTACCGGAGCACTGTCGGGTGGTGGCTGGGACAGCGTGCCGGGGCACTGTCGGGTGGTGGCTGGGACAGCGTGCCGGGGCACTGTCGGTTGGTGGCTGGAACAGCGTGCCGGAGCACTGTCGGTTGGTGGCTGGGACAGCGTGCCGGAGCTCTGTCGGGTGGTGGCTGGGACAGCGTACCGGAGCACTGTCGGTTGGTGGCTGGGACAGCGTGCCGGAGCACTGTCGGTTGGTGGCTGGGACAGCGTGCCGGAGCACTGTCGGTTGGTGGCTGGGACAGCGTGCCGGGGCACTGCCGAGTGGTGGCTGGGACAGCGTGCCGGGGCTCTGTCGGGTGGTGGCTGGGACAGCGTGCCGGAGCACTGTCGGGTGGTGGCTGGGACAGCGTGCCGGAGCACTGTCGGTTAGTGGCTGGGACAGCGTGCCGGAGCACTGTCGGTTGGTGGCTGGGACAGCGTGCCGGAGCACTGTCGGGTGGTGGCTGGGACAGCGTACCGGAGCACTGTCGGTTGGTGGCTGGGACAGCGTGCCGGAGCACTGTCGGTTGGTGGCTGGGACAGCGTGCCGGAGCACTGTCGGTTGATGGCTGGGACAGCGTGCCGGGGCACTGCCGAGTGGTGGCTGGGACAGCGTGCCGGGGCTCTGTCGGGTGGTGGCTGGGACAGCGTGCCGGAGCACTGTCGGTTGGTGGCTGGGACAGTGTACCGGAGCACTGTCGGGAGGTGGCTGGGACAGCGTGCCGGGGCACTGTCGGGTGGTGGCTGGGACAGCGTGCCGGGGCACTGTCGGGTGGTGGCTGGGACAGCGTGCCGGGGCACTGTCGGGTGGTGGCTGGGACAGCGTGCCGGGGCTCTGTCGGGTGGTGGCTGGGACAGCGTGCCGGAGCACTGTCGGTTGGTGGCTGGGACAGTGTACCGGAGCACTGTCGGGTGGTGGCTGGGACAGCGTGCCAGGGCACTGTCGGTTGGTGGCTGGGACAGCGTGCCGGAGCACTGCCGGGTGGTGGCTGGGACAGTTGGGACTTCAGACAGACGGGAGGTGGTCAGAACAGACAGGATCCTGGTCGGAACGGGCACAACCCTGGTCGGAACTGGCGGAGCGCTGGTCGGAACGTACAGAACACTTGTCGGACCGGACAGAATACTGGTCGGAGCGGGCAGGACATTAGTCGGGACGGACAGGACACTGGTTGGAACGGGCAAGGCCCCACACCGACGGCGGACGCGCGGCTGTTCGTTACCCTACACCGGTCGGCACGCCATCCACCGACGGCTACCCCCGACAACTCAGACCCCTTCACGGCAGGCGGAGTCTTGTCACGCACCAGGCCCGGCATACCCAGAGACCGCAGACTGGCGAGACGGGCAACACGGGGCCGCAACCGCGGGAGACGGAAGACGACAGGTGGAACGGCGCCGGCGGTGACGTCAGATCGCCATGGGTGACGACAGATCACCAGCGGTGACGTCAGATCGCCCTACCTGGACGCTGAGGTGAAGAGTAGTCGTACGTCATCAGCGAGAAGAAGTCGACGTCGTTCTTGAGCGCGTCGAAGTCGTCACGCGAGAAGAAGCCTGGCGCTCCGCTGGGAAGGAATAGGTGGACACTGATACGATGCAGCCGGCGGCTGCGACATTCGAACGGACAAAGACGTAGACGGGGTGTCCTCCGAAGAAGTGAAACATGCTGTGGTGACAACCGTTCTAGCTACCTAGGTTTTCATTCCTGCAATCACTGTCCTACAAGTTAAAACATTATGTAAGCAAGGAGGGGGACCAACGTCTGACTTCAAAAAGGTAAAAATAGCGCAAAGGGAACAACACACTGAGGTGTCTCAGTCCATTTAGACAACACCCATCGTTGGAGCGAAGTAGGCGACGTGATTGATTGACTTGATTTGACTTTATTTGCGTGACTGATTTGAACACATAATCTGAGCCAAACGCTGGCGAGGGTTACACCATGACGGCTGGTAACAGCGCCGGCGGCAGAGCCGGCTGTGCAACCGACCTACCCGTGATAGGAGGCCGGCGGGATGACCAGGCCGACGGTGAGGTGACGGTGGCGCAGCACAGCGGCCAGCTGACGAACTACGGTCGCCAGCTCCGTCCGCCGCTGGCCGCCCAGCTGGCTCCAGATCTCGACCACCACCCCGTCCAGCTTCAGGTCCTAGCGCCGGCGGGCGGGGGAGGGAAGGTCAGCAGATTACAGCTGACTCCAGATTTTAACTCGCCTTGCTCCCTCGCTAGACAGCTGTCACACGTCCGCCAAGCAACGGTCTTGCTCTAAAATATCGCAACAGCACAGATCCACGGAAACATCCCACAATCGTTCGTTAAGACTGCATCACTTTATTCAAACTTATAAAGCATTGTCAGCGTCTGCCTCGGCAAGAAGCCGACAGAGCCGAAAGAAGCGTTTCACCCTTGCCGTTCTCTCACACGGGGGTGTGCGGCGGCGTCTCCGTTCGGTGGAGACAGAAAGACCGCGGAGATCGTCTGGTGGAGAACGAGACGCTCAGTCTCCCTCCGATCGCCCTGGCTACAAACGTGGCGGGCTGGCAGACCAGACCGTGGATCGCACCAGGGACACCGGCAGCCAGCCAGGGGCTGCCCGGCTGGGCGGCGCTGCGGGCTCACCTGCAGGGTCTGGACCACCGTCTCCGCCAGCCGCTGGCGACTCTGCCGGCTCTGGAACAGCTGCAGGTAGTCTGGGCCAGTGAAGTCCTCGAAGAGGAGGCGGGGCACCACTGGAGGAGTGACAGTCAACAGTCAGCGGCACCACTGGAGGAGTGACAGTCACCAGTCAGTGGCATCAATGGAGGAGTGACAGTCACCAGTCAGTGGCATCAATGGAGGAGTGACAGTCACCAGTCAGTGGCACCACTGGAGGGGTGACAGTCACCGGTCAGCAGCACCATTAGAGGAGTGACAGTCACCAGTCAGCAGCACCACTGGAGGAGTGACAGTCACCAGTCAGCAGCACCACTGGAGGAGTGGTGGTCACCAGTCAGCAGCACCACTGGAGGAGTGACAGTCACCAGTCAGTGGCACCACTGGAGGAGTGGTGGTCACCAGTCAGCGGCACCACTGAAGGTCATGATGGTCATAGGCCAAGAGCATCAATAAAGAGCTGACATCATAAACTATAAACAATGAACTACCAGTCACAAGTCCTAGAGGAGACCACGCCAGCGGCAGACAACTACGAAACACCGCTGGAGGTCAGAGTCCAAAGCAACACTGGGGACCATGGCAGCCACACGTCGGTAGTCAAACTGGCGAGCTCTGTTCATGCCAAGGACACCGAACCCCGTGCACTACGCCATGAGCGCTGGTTGTGAGTCACGTGACCCGGGACACAGTTTCCGCCATTCAAGTCACGAAACCGATTCCTCACTTTCTAAACTGGCAGAACATTGGAAATCATTCCTTACCTGTAACAAGTGGCAGAGTTACTTTCGACACACTTACACTTCTGCAGAACAGCAGTGGCTCGCGCACTGCCACCCAGGTGCGACTGACGCCCAAGCAACTCTAAATATTGATCATGCAAGAGCTGAACTTTCCATCGTCGCTCTCTTTGGGCTCAAACGCGATTTATTTGCGGACGCCCAAGCCATAAGTAACAACTCCAGCATGCGGCAAGGCCATCGTGTGTGAACGACCAATCGAATTAACGCTGGCTATGACGTCACGGGTAGAACCCAAAGCAACTTCAGGCCCCAGAGAGCGGTCTCGTCTACCAGAGGGCAGAGGCCACCGGTCGACAGTCACCTTTGACCTTCTGGCGCGCCCCGGCCGTCCTGACGTCCTTGACCCAGCCGGCGTCAACGTCATGGGTGCCGGTGATCGTGTAGCCTGCGGCGTCAGGACCCGGCGGTCACCGGCGGGGGAGGGGGGGGGGGGGAGGGGGGCACCGGCCGGGCGGCGAGACGGCGGCCGCTCGCCTCGGTGGATGTCAAGGCTGCCGCATGTTTGCCCTTCTGGGCGTCCGTGTGGGGGTGCCACGCTACAGCGTGGACATTATGGCCCCTACACACCCAAAGATGGGTTCGTAGTTCACGCCATCAGCGCCGAAGTGCAAAACGTGATTTCTTACAGGCATCATAATGGTAACATATAAAACAGGTATGATAATAAAACAGGCAATAAAATGGTACTCAAACAAAAATTCTAAGGTAAGACCAAACAACCTTGCAACAAAACGATATCTAAATATATCAACCAAGAGCTGATGAATTACAATATCACTTGTGCAAAACCTTACAAAAAATGGTTGTTTTATCAGCAAACAACACAGGGAAGATGTACGTCAATGGTCTTAGCATTGTTCCGCTCCCCAATGCGAGGGTCAGCACCCCAACCCCAGTGGCCCTTCAGCACCAGCCGGCGCACCTCAGGCGCCCGACGGTCCAGCCCCGTCGCTCTGACCTTGGTCGGCGGGCCGCACCTGCAGCCAGACGGGCGACACCAGCGAAAACTTGCCGAACGTCTTGGCCACGTCGTAACCGTGATTGTTCCACTGCAACCGGGGAGCGATGAGAGCGACTTGGTCACACTGAGCGGTACGTGGGACCACTCAACGGTACCTAGGACCGCTGGACGGTACATGGGACCGCTGAACGGTAAAGGGGACCACTGAGCAGTAAACGGGACCACCGAGCAGTAAACGGGACCGCTGAACGGTAGATGGGACCATTCTACTGTGAACGGGACCACTCAGAAGTAAACGGGACCGCTGAACGGTAAACGGGACCACCGTACTGTTAACGGGACCACTGAGCAGCAAACGGGACCGCTGAATGGTGAACGGGACCACTCAGCAGTAAACGGAACCACTGAACGGTACACGGATGGACGGTACATGGGCCTCTGAACGGGGCCACTGAAGGGACCACGGGGCCATTTCTCAACCATCAGCAACCGATACGAAACCTGGTTTACCCAGGCTCTGCACGTCAACAGAGCGCGTGGCAGCGAGCCGCGCTCTAGACCACGTGACCACAGGCCGAGCGGTGCTCACCAGCCGGGTCAGCCCGGCACCGGAGTAGGGCCGCACTCACCGGCGTCACGTAGCCCAGCACGGGCCCCTCAAAGTTAGCCTCGGCCGTGGCTCGGGAGTAGGCGGCGTGGTGCTGCACGATCTCCTTGGCCGTTATGGCTGTCTTCACCAGGCCCCGCTCCTCGACTGAGGTGCTGACTGGACCGGACTGGGGGCGGGGTGCTCGGGTCAGTCTCGCTCCTCTGCAGGGGTGCTGACCGGGCCGGACTGGGGACGGGGTGTTCGGGGTCAGTCTCACTCCTCTGCAGGGGTGATGACCGGGCCGGACTGGGGGAGGGGTGCTCGGGTCGGTCTCGCTCCTCTGCAGGGGTGCTGACCGGGCCGGACTGGGGGAGGGGTGCTCGGGTCGGTCTCGATCCTCTGCAGGGGTGATGACCGGGCCGGACTGGGGGAGGGGTGCTCGGGTCGGTCTCGCTCCTCTGCAGGGGTGATGACCGGGCCGGACTGGGGGAGGGGTGCTCGGATCGGTCTCGCTCCTCTGCAGGGGTGATGACCGGGCCAGACTGGGGGCGGGGTGTTCGGGGTCAGTCTCACTCCTCTGCAGGGGCGATGACCCGGCCGGACTGGGGACGGGGTGTTCGGGGCCAGTCTCGCTGCTCTTCAGGGGTACTGACCGGGCTGGGGGCAGCATGCTGTCAGCTAAATCCAAACAGAACTTTTCCATTGAAAGGTCCGTATGTAGACGTGCGCATCCCGTTTTACGCTACAGTGATATCCGCGTCTTCATCTCCGACACTTTATCTATATTGGCGTGTCAGATGAAGAGTTCCCATGGCTGGGGAGGCTTGATGAATATATGCCTGAATTGGAATCTGAATCAGCATTGCCCCTCTGTGGAGGTGTCAACTGGACCGGACTGTGAGCAGGGTCTTCAGCTTGCAAGGCTTGTGCTCACAAGTGGGACACATGGTGGAACCCAGCTGGTGGAAGTGGAACCCAGCTGGTCAACCAATCACACTAGTTGTGGCTGTTGGAAAAAGAACATAACAATGAGGTCAAGACAAGGCGAAAAACACTGTGTCCAAACAGCCCCAAATAGTGTGTTGGTGACTGGTGAGTCAAGATCTCCTCAACTGCAGGCATGGCAGGACATGATGGGGGGGGGGGGGGGGCACTTATTAACCTGCCAAGCACTGATATGGTGGTTCTCAAGCAAACAACTATTCATACATATTCCCACATATATCACACATCATCATCATAGTGATGCCCCAGCAACAACCACTGCAAGGGGACACACAACTGTCTTGTGATTTTTGAAAGAATCATGAAGGTGCAGAAGGATTTAGCAGAGAACCCATAATTGGGCATTACTAGATGTATGACAATATAAGGCACATCCCACTCTTGTAATTCCCATTTCCCACCCAAATGCAATCTGTGCTATGAAATATCAGAAACCAAAAATCAAAATGGTGTAAATGTGGGAAGCAAGATGCCAATAAGAGATAAAGGTCCTTGCCAGAACTCACCAGAGCCTTTGCTTTCTTCTTTCCTTTAGAGTCATCTGGACTCAAGGTGCCCAAAGCAATGGAGAGAGCTGAGAGCAGTACAGTGAAGGTGATAAATACCTTCATCATATTTATTTTTTATGTTTGAATCCACCTGAAATAAATTAATATCCATATACATCTAGCATCATCATTGTAATAACAAATATCTGCAAAGCTTAGAGTAAACAGAATTCTACTTCACTGATGTCAATGCAGTATGATGTAGCTAATGGAAATGTCTTGGGAGGCAACACCATGGCATGATCCCCAGTTTTGTTGTTGTTGTTTTGTTTTTTTACTTGGAGATGACTGCTATTCACTGAGCATGCAAAACAGAAACAGTTTACTATCATGCAAATACTAAATATACCGATCTATAAATATACTCTACAATCATGTAACATAAAAAGGTGTGTATGTAATTCTATTCAGATGTTGCAATGTTAGATAATATTGTTGGTAGTTGCTGTAACTGGAGATTATGTTAAATGAATGGGCTGGGTCTGGGTGGGGAGATTACAAAGGTGGGTGGGCTGCAGGTGGGTGGGCTGCAGATGGGCATTGACTACAAGATTCAGTCAGGCTTCAAGCTCAGGATATCAAGCCTGAGGCATATCCTACTTTGTTTTCAACCAGAGTGCCCAGCCATATGTTGAGCCAAGACCTGTCCTGGTATTGTCTTGGTACCTTGCCACAGTATTTGTTAGCTTTGTGCATGAATTCCAAATCATACATATTTCATTGCAAGACCATATGTCATTGTTTAATAAAAGCTCTGCTGACCCAACACTTTATTACCACACGAATATAGGGCTTGGACATATGAATGCTATAGTACTTCATCCAGGGAAATCAATGGAAGCCGCAAGATCCCACAGAAGACTGAGTATACCATATTCAAACTTTGAAGTACTGAATGCCTAGTTGCCCCAAAGTCTGATCTTAAACTTAATTTATAATTTGGTCAGAATGTCTGACTTTGTTCTCTTGCCTTCAAATATTGACCAGTGTAGACAAAAGCAGACCCTGAAACACACCCGGCAAACCAATATGCTGTCACACACCCAGGACTTCTAACATGGAAAACCAGAAGATCAGTCAGCTGGAAAATGTGTACATCAGTTCCTGAACTGCCCCCAAGTACGTGCAGAATAATACAAACTAAGCGCGACACCTCAAGCGACATATAAGTAATCCTACAACTGATTGCACCACCTTGTAACCGATCATCGAGCGACCCTGAATAGAAACACGACTGTGGAGTTTTCGGCTTCTTTAATGAAACAAAGGCGCCATGTTTGAATACAAACATTAGCCTTTTGTGGTTTTACGAGCATGATTTTGTACTCTGTTACTTAGGAAAGCTGTGCGCTCATTTCATCATGCTTTTGCGATTTGTGTGGCAATCCGAGGCGCCTGCCGAGAAGGCAGACAGCCTCGTGCAGTCTCGTGTCCGCCGGTCGGTTGCGTGGTGGAGTGGTGTTGCAAGGACTTTGCGTTTCATTTAAGGTATAGCAAATGAAGCAGAAAATTATAAAGTGATTCAGAAAGCCAACAATGTGAACCTTCTGAGTGTCAGAAAAAGCCTTCGTGGTGTGGCATTGCACGATGATATGCCCTCTGCCCTGGAATGTTCATTTTGGCTGTGCTGGTATTTTGTGTTAAGTTAATGTGGTGTGCTTCTCACATCATCGCATCTTACTGGTCTCCTTTGTTGCATTAATGGAGTTATAAACCAAAGCTGTCAATGAAAGGTTTAAAGGCATGCTAGGTAACCATTAAAGTAGCATTTGCTGATGGGGGAATATTGCATGCCTTTGCATTTCATGTGTGTCTGACTTCATTGATGAATGCTGCTGTTGAAAACCCCTGAATTAGTTTGTGCCATCACCAAGATGTTCAAATGTCCCAGATTCCAGATTATCCTCAAAAGATGGTGACTCAAAAGTTGTACATCATGTTCTACATCAGGGACAATGTTTTACAGGATGAGCTTGGGGAGGCTGAATCAGGAAATATTATAAATGTTCCATCTAAAATATGTCATCCATCTGCTACCAAAAAGGTATTTTGCCAGTCATGGCCCACTTAACAGAAGGTGAGGGTTGGACCCCAAGTTGGGGAGGGGTTTAGTGCCTCATGCAACTGAGTAGGAAAGTACACCCCTCTTCAATGCCCATCTTGGATGCATCATCTTCATTTTTGGAAGTTTTTTTCCAAAAATTAACATGTGTGCCACCCTGTGTCTAACAGTGCTGATCTGCCTCAAACTTTGCCCTGCCAGGTCACCGCTCCATCCACTGCACTGGGAGGCACTAGGGATACCTGACCAGAAGGAGCACCTCTGGCCTCAGTGGCTGATGCTCCAGGTGCAGTGCCAACAGGCCATCTGCAGACTGCTTTCACGCCACAGCGCAGCTGCAATGCCCAAGGCTGTGGACCTGACTGAGCGGCGTGATGCTCGCACTGCCAAAACCAAGAAGCTGAAGTCATATGGCCCACCCAGTGCTGTCAAGCTGCAGGTGCTGGGCACGGGTGCAGAGGGTGCGCCACGATCCCTCTATGTCTTTACCACCAGTGCCAGGTGAGTGGCAAGATCCACTGTGCCTTCCATCATTACTACCATTGCCAGGTCATGTTTGGTGACCTGGCACATACCCTACTTGAGATTGTATGTGATATGCATGGTGGAATCCATTTTGTTAACAAGTGTTCAGCCACGTTCATGATCAAATAAATATACCGATGTTGGTGAGATGAGCCACACACACACTGTCTTTGTGTTGATTAGATTTGTTGGGTTAGTGACTGACTGAAGGTTACTCTTTCTAAGTGATCCAGTGCCAGCAGCTGCACAGTTTGGCCATAAGTTACACCATGTTCACATGTTGGACTTTGTTTTCACCAGCTGGTGGAGATGCCAACAAGGCCTACCATTCACTGATCCCACCCCATGCTTCACGGCAGCTACCTGTTCAACTGCGGCGAGGGGACGCAGCGTCTGTCGCACGAGCGCAAGACACGGCTGGCGCGGCTGGAGAATGTGTTCATCACCACCAACGCCTGGCGGAATGTGGGCGGCGTGCTGGGCGCGCTGCTCACCCTCAACGACATCGGGGTGCCGGCGCTGACACTTCACGGGCCGCCGGGACTGGTGGGTCAGCCAGCCGCTGGCCCGCCCGGGCCCGGCGACGGCGGAGTCTGCATCTGCTGCGTCTTTCAGTGTTGGTTGACGGCGGCCTCGTACATCGTTCATGCGGTCCATGTTTTGTGTTGAGTTAGAGGCTGCCACTGTTCAGACGTTGAGGCAGGTGGCAGATCCGCAGTGTATTTGAACGAGGCTACATTCCATCACCCAACCAGTGTCCATTTGCTACTGATACCAGAGCAAACGCACAGCCATTGTTTCGCGCGCTCACTCCACTCTGCCGATGCTAGCGGCGTTTTCCTCCGTTCACGTAACTGCACTGCGCATGGCAGGTCTGAACGCCGCGTGCGGTTGTTAGCGTTGTACTCGCAGCGCCGGATCTCGCCGAGCCGTGGCTCCCGAGCCACTGGCTCGTGCCGTCGCTCAGCCAGGCCCCCCGCGTCCGCAGAACGCGCTGTACCGCGACACGCGCAACTTCATCCAGCTGCGCGGCATGAACGTGTCGCACCGCAGCGAGACGCACGCGGACTTCGTCGACGTCGGGCTGACGGTGAGCGTCCGCGGGACACCGCCAAGCTCGTTCCGGGAGCCGCGGTGATGAGGGGACTCGGGGAGTGTCGCAGACAGGGCTGTGTGGTTGAAAACGTCCGTAGTCGACTCTGGTGTCAGGCAAATTCGATTGCATGTAAATGTTGGCGAATCCCATTGCATGTAACAACGGAAGCATGAGTTCAAAGTTCGTTTGTGTAGCAAGCTCTGTCTTGAACCGAGCATGACATGGAATTGGTGCTTTTCAAAGGTTCAATTTATGTGCAGATAGGGACGTTTCTTGACAGCTCCTATGTCTAAGTTTGCCATGAGAGTACAGCTATGTGGCTGACGGTGACGGGACTGAGCCGGGCCGCCGTCACGTGCTGTAGCGTGACGGCGTGCCATGCAGCGAGCATCGGGCGCGCCGCCATGCAGCGCGCGCCGCTGCACCGCCAATTCCGTGACCCCGGAGGCCAGGCCAGCCAGCGGGCGCACGTGACCCGCGGACCGTCGCCAGGTGCGCGCTGTGCCGCTGTGGGGCGCCGCCGCGAGCCGCGAGCCGCCGGCCGTCGCCGCCGGTCCCCCGCCGGTCGACTACTTCGCTTTCGAGAGGACGGGCGGCGCCGGCGGCCGACCGGCCTCGCCGCCCAGCCGGCCGCCGGCGCCGCCGGAGGAGCACGGTACGCCGGGGGGAGGGGCGAGGGCGTAGGACGGAGGTGGGGTGGGGCGCGGGCGGAACGGGCGGAGGCTCTGGTACTTGGTTGCGGTGTAGGTTCGTGATGTCTCGTTCATCGTCGGAACGCTAGAGGTTGAGCAGGGTGCTTTCCTAAACATGTCAACCGTTAGGTGGCGGTCTGCGAATGACGCCGACGAGTCATGTCATCGGGCTTCCATGGCAACTTACTTTAACTCGCCAAGTACGTCTGACACAGCACTGCTTTCCATCTTGCCCACAATTGCTCGTCCGTGACTTCCACGAGAGGAACGGTGCAGAAGGAACTTCCCCGGCAGGGATGTCGCGGGAGGGGCTTCTGCGAGAGGGACCTGCGCGGGAGGGATGCCGCGCGTGGGGGTTCGGTAACCCCACACTTGCGGCTGGTCTGTGACGTTGCGTAACCCACTGACCGAAACACCAGCAGTCGCGCGCCGCCCGTCACGGCTGACACGATGTCATCACGTCGACCGTTCCCTGCGCCGTTGGCAGGGCCGCCGCTGCCGGAGCGGGCCGTGTCGTACGCCTATGTATGCTCGGTGCCGGACCGCGCCGGCCGCCTCCTGCTGGACAAGTGCGTCAGCCTCGGCGTGCAGCCCGGCCCGCTGCTGGGACAACTCAAGGTCGGTGCCGTCGGCGCCGGCTTTGAGCGCTCAGAAATGCTGGAATGGATGTGTTCTCGTGCACGGGGAGCCGCGTGGGGCCGTCGATGAACGGGGCAGAGACGTAAATGCATAAGACCGGTGCTCTTGCCCGTACCTGCACGGTACCCGTACCTGTGCCGGTGCCTGTACCCCTACCGTACCGTAGAAATCGTCTCCAATCCGTGGACAACGCCCCGTAACCCGTGGCGTGCCGGTGCCCCCCCACCCCCCGCCACGGCTCCCCGTCACCCGTATCGCCTCCTCTGCATCCGTGAAACTGCGCTGATATGATGATGTCCATGTGATTGCTTATACAACGATGGCCGTGTGACTGTTCACATAACGATGTCCGTGTGACTCCGTAAGACGGTGTCCGTGTGAATGTCCGTGACTGTGCCCGTGTGACGGTCTCCCGGCGTGACAGTATCTGTATGACGGTCTCCCGGCGTCACGGCCTCACTCCGCCGTCTGCCCACAGAGCGGCAGGGACGTGGTGCTGGAGGACGGCCGCGTCGTCCGGTCGGAGGACGTCACGTCCCCGGACGAGGTCGGCGCCCAGTTCCTCGGTGAGGCCGCCTCCCTCCCCTGGCTGGGTGCGCCCATGCCTGCTGATCGGCCGGGTCGGGGACGGATGCCGTTGGGGGCTGCGGATGGTTACGTTGCGCGAGTGCTCGGTTGGGGATGGGTATGGTCATAACATGTTTGGTCGCAGTCTCGGAAGTCACTGAAATGATGTCAAGAATTTGTGGATCTTCGCGAGCCACGATTATGAAATTATTCATGGACAACATGGCCTGCAATGCAATAGGTCGCCAGATGTTTCATTGATATATGTAAATGCGTCTATAAATGATCGTGATTTGTTTTGCAGTCCTGGAGCTTCCCTCGCCGGACTTCCTCCCCTCGCTCTCCGACTTGAACTCGTCGCTGGACGCTTCACGGCTGGCGGCTGTCGTGCACTTCTCGCCGGCGGCGGTGATGGACTCGCCCGAGTACCGGGCGTGGCGGGAAGGCCTGCCGGCGACCGTGCGCCACGTGGCGCTGAACGAGACGTGCCGCGGCCACGGTAGCGAAGCCGTCCACCGCCTGCAGCACCAACTGCACACCATCGACCCGCAGCTGTTCCCGCTGCTGGCCGGCGACGACCCGACCACGGACCAGCCTACTGGTGAGCAGCGGGGAGGCCCGTGCGGCTGTCCTCCAGCACGGACGTGGGCAGACCGGGCTTGGTTGCGTCGAGTTCGCCATCTGATGTCGAACGACCTGCTTGCGTGGTGGAAGTACCTGATCCTCGCTACGATCTTCTTGTTAATTCTGTCATGTAGTCGAGCACTCGTTTGAACGTCGTCAGCCGTTGCGATCATTGTTTGGATGGCACATCATTTACAACGCGGTACGGTCTGCAAGCACATTTTTTATATGAAAAATTTTAGCTCTCATTTTATGAATCAGTATGAACACACAGTCCTCTCTACCCTACCATCTCTGTTACAGTGCCAACTCATTCGGGGTGTTGCACTTACCTTTGACGCGTAGTACGGTACGTGTGCCAGACGGTTCGCTGTGTTCTGCCGCATCTGCCAGACGGTCTGCTATGTTTGGCGCGTCTGGCAAACGGTCTGCCGTGTTCGGCGTGTCTGCTAGACGGTCTGCCGTGTCCGGCGCATCTGGCAGACGCTCTGCTGTGTTCTGCCGCGTCTGTCAGACGGTCTGCTGTGTTCGGCGTGTCTGCCAGAGGGTCTGTTGTGTTCGGTGTGTCTGCCAGACGGTCTGCCGTGTTCGGCGTGTCTGCTAGACGGTCTGCCGTGTTCGGCGCATCTGGCAGACGGTCTGCCGTGTTCGGCGTGTCTGCCAGACGGGCCGGTTTCAGACGGCGCGCCCTGTAAACGGGCCGGTTTCAGACGGCGCGCCCTGTAAGCGAGTCCGGCTGTCGTCAGAGGACGACCCGACGGCAGAGCAGGACCAGGACCAGGAGCAGGAGCAGGAGCAGGAGCAGGAGTCGTCGCTGATCCACCCGCCGTCCGGCTGGGGCCTGAGCTTGCGGCCGCCAGCCGAGCCCGACACGTAAGTCCCCGGGCCAGACACCGGCCGCCCTTGACAAGGCGAGGCGTTTGCCCGCCGTGCCCGGCTCGGACGTCGAGATCACCAGGGCTCTGGCTTCAGGAATGTTGTGAGTTTGACTGGGACTAGTATGTTCTGTGTATTTTTTCCTTGAGGCTTTGTCATCTGATCCGTCTGGAGGATGTAATGCGTGCTGTCTACCAGAGAGCTCGCATTGTCTCCTCCTCCTCCGCCATCCCAGTAGGAGGATGTAGTATCACCGTGTCACTCTCAGCCACCTATCGGGGTAGCGCCACTGAACCCCGTCGTCTTCTCCGCCGCCAGTGAGGGCGTGACGCCGGTGACGCCGGACGTGTACCGTGCGGAGCTGGCGGCGGACGAGGCCTTCTCGGCCCGGCTGGCCGAGTACCGGCAGGCGTCCGCCGCCCTGCCGCCCGCCGCCGCCGCCGGGGTCTACCCGCAGACCGTGCTGCTCGGCACGGGCAGCTCCATCCCCAACAAGAAGCGGAACACGAGCGGCATACTGGTCAACCTCAGGTGGGGGCGGCGCGCCGGCGCGGGCCGGGACGTCTCCGGAGAGGGCCGCATGCGTGATGGCGGCAGAGCGTTGCTGATGGGAGGCGGCTCTATGCGGTCCACGTCACCACGGTGTTCCGTCTGACACCATCAACTTATGCCAATGTGTGTGGTGGTGACCGCTCCGGGCGTCAACTAGAACGTGCTATGTTAGTTTGGAGACCGTCTGTGTGGTCGCGACCTTCCTGCCCCGATTCCGCAGCCGCAACAGGAGGGTCCCTCCGCGCCGACCCCGTCTGTCCCGTGACCGGTGCGTCCCCGGCAGTGGGGACCCCTCCGCGCCAACCCCGCCTGTCTCGTGACCGGTGCGTCCCCGGCAGTGGGGACCTCTCCGCACAGACCCCGTCTGTCTTGTGACCGGTGCGTCCCCGGCAGTGAGGACCTCTCCTGGCCAACCCCGCCTGTCTCGTGACCCGTGCGTCCCCGGCAGTGAGGACATCTCCGCGCCGACCCCGGTATGTGACCGGTGCATCCCCGGCAGTGGGGACCTCCTGGCCAACCCCGTCTGTCTCGTGACAGGTGCGTCCCCGGCTGTGGGGACCTCTCCGCTCTGACCCTGTCTGTCTCGTGACGGGTGCGTCCCTGGCAGTGGGAATCCCTCCGCGCCGACCCCGTGTCTCGTGATCCGTGCGTCCACGACAGTGGGGACCCCTCCGCCTCGACCCCGTCTGTCTCGTGACCCGTGCGTCCCCGGCAGTGGGGACCCCTCTGCGCCGACCCCGTCTGTCTCGTGACGGATGCGTCCCCGGCAGTGGGAATCCCTCCGCGCCGACCCCGTCTGTCTGTGACCGGTGCGTCCCCTGCAGTGAGGAGCACTCCGTGCTGCTGGACTGCGGCGAGGGCACCCACGGCCAGCTGGTGCGGCTGCTGGGACAGCAGCAGGCGGCCGCCGTCCTCCGTCGGCTCGGCGCCGTCTACATATCGCACCTGCACGCCGATCATCACATCGGTACGGGCAGGCCGACCCTGACCTGGCCTGACCTGACCCCGCGGACTGGTGACGGCGCTGGACTTGGGTGTGGGGTCGAGTGTGACGGACGGAGAACTCGATGATTCTGTGCGCCCGATTGAGTGTAGCTGAGAGACAACTCTGAGACACGGCTCGAGACCGAGTGTAGCTGAGAGACAACTCCGAGCCACGGCTAGAGACCGAGTGTAACAGCCCACATGCCGCAGAGGCCGACCCCCATTGACTCAGCGTGATGTCATGACCCCTCCCCCCCCTACCGTTGGCTCGCGGTAACAGTGACGAACGTCGGCCGACCGTACCGTGCCCCACATCCGCAAAGGCCGGCAGCTCGCTTGGAATCAACTGCGGATTCTGGATTGCCCGCTTAAAACAGCTCGTCGTGTTTTTGCGCAGAATTGATTTGAGTACAGTGCGTCGGTCTGACCAGCGAGCGTGCAGTGCGCCGGTCTGACCAGTAAGTGTGCAGTCCGCCGGTCTGACCAGCGAGCGTACAGTGCGCCGGTCTGACCGGCGAGTGTAGTCCGCTGCCCTGATCAGCGAGCGTACAGTGCGCCGGTCTGACCAGCGAGCGTACAGTGTGCCGGTCTGACCAGCAAGCGTACAGCCCGCCAGTCTAACCAGCAACCGCGCTGTGCGGCAGGTCTGATCAGCATTCTGGAGGCGCGCCGACGGGCGCTGGGCGCCGAGCACCGGCCGTGCCTGCTGCTGGCGCCGGGCCCCATCGCCGGCTACCTCACCATGTACCACAACAAGATGGCCCCGCTGCTCGGTCAGTGGCGCCCGGTCCGCCGCTGCGGCCGTGGGGACGCCCCGTGAGCTCGGACGGCCGTATGTAGTCGGATGCTGGGGCTCGCGGGACGCTGCTGCCGCGCGAACTGAGTCGGGCCGGTCGCTGCCCGTGGGTCTGGACAGGCTGCGGCTGGTGTTTCTCGGGCCGACGGCGCGGTAGCCGAGTCTGATGTGTGACTCTCGCTTGCCGGTCCCTGGCGCATCGGACGATCCGCTCTGACGTAATCCGCGACGACTCTTGTCGTTTGCGGCAGTACTTCGCCCCCCCCCCCCCCGCCCCCCGTTCCTCACTTTCTGTGTTCCCCGTCCGCCTCTGAGAGCCCGCCACTCCCTCTGAGCCCCCGCCCGCCGCCCCCTTTGAGGCCCCCGCTGCCTCCTGAGGCCCGCCGCTCCCTCTGACCTGCTCTGCGCTGCCGCCAGACACGTTCTCGCTGGTGGCCAACGCGCGCCTGCAGCTGTCCAGCTCGCCGCGCCCCGCCTGGCTGCAGGAGCGGCTGGCGGCGGCCGGCCTGGACGAGCTGGTCACCTGCCTCGTGCGCCACTGCCCGCTGGCGTACGGCGTGCGGCTGGGCCGCGCCGGCGGGCCCAGCGTCGTCTACTCGGGCGACACGCGGCCCTGCCCGGAGCTGGTGGCGCTCGGTCAGTCGTGCGCTGTCTCCCAACGCGCTGTCGAGAGCTGGCCGCAGTTGGTTGGTGTTGATCCACCGCGCCTTCAAGAGCTGGCCGCAGTTGGTTGGTGTCGGCTGGTGTGCGTTGACTGTCGCTCTTGCTCCGCGCTTGACGGGTTGGGTCTGCGCTCTGCCGGTCCGGGTCATCGGTGGGCCTAAGATGAGGGCTGAACTCCAGGCCAAGGTTGTTGATGCGTGGCCGACTCGTGGTTGACTTCACCCCAGGAATGGGCCTCGGCCCGTGCCCTCTGCCAACCCCAAACCAGGCTGGTGTGACCTTGCCGGCGGGTTGACCCAGGTCGAGGTCGTGTGACCTTGACATCGGGCGCCTGCCGCCACTCAGGTCAGAACTGCGACCTGCTGATCCACGAGGCGACGCACGAGGATGAGCTGCAGGAAGAGGCGGAGCTGCGCGCCCACTCCACCACGTCTGAGGCGATCGGTGAGCTCCCGCGCCGCGCCGGGTTCCGGTGTGCCGCCGGCCGGCGCCAGCGCGCGCACGGGAGCCGCGCCGCCGCCGACCTGCGTCGTCTTAGTGGGGGAGGCACTCTGCCGTCCACCTCCCCGTAGCCCCCCGTCCATGGCGCCGCTGACTCCGCCTCTGGCACACTGAACGGCACCCCCCCCCTCGGCGCCGCTGACTCCGCCTCTGGCACACTGGACCGCGGCGGGCCGGCTCCCGGCCCTGCTGACTCCGCCTCTGGCTCGGCAGGCGTGGGCCGCGACATGGCCGCCCGTCACGTGCTGCTGACGCACTTCAGCCAGCGCTACTCGAACCTGCCGCTGCTGCCGGAGCCGGCGCCCGAGAACGTCGGCGTCGCCTACGACAACATGGTGGTCAGTTACGGCACCGAGCGAGAGCGGGCACCAGCCGGGGACGGCCCAGGCCGGGCCAGGGGGACGGTCAGGTCAGGTCGGGAGGGCGTGGTCGGGCGGGAAGCGTGACGGGTCGGCTCGTGGGGCGGGGGATCAAGCAGGGTGGACTGTGTCGCGTGTGTGGTGCGCAGCGTCCGCCGCTGGACGCGGCTGACTCCGGCCAGCAGCCAGGCATCCGACGGGCCCTCCGTGGCGGTTTGGTTATTCGGAGCAAACCAACACGGACGCTCTCCTTGTCGGCTGGAGTCCCGCCCCGTGCGTTGTCCTGGCCTGTGACGTCATACTGACGCCAGCGCGCGTGTGCCGACCCAGGTGGACTACCGGCACCTGCCGCGGCTGCCGCTGCTGTACCCGTGCCTGCGGCAGGCCTTCGCCGAGTCCTACGACCAGTGCGTCGAGCGCACGGCGAAGCGGCGCGACCGCAAGCAGAAGCTGGCCGACCAGCTGGCCAACGACGGGCTGGTATGACGTCACCGGTAGACGGCCGCGACGTCACGTGGGTGGGGTCGGGGCCGGGACCGGCTGGCCGGCCGCGCCGCAGACCAGCATGGCGGCGCGTGTGGCGACGTGATGTTGTACTGGTGACGTGTTACCGATTCGCGGAGCGGGCAGCGTCTGGTGACGTCATCAGTCCTCGTGTGTGACGTCATTTGTGTGTGGGCGTTGAGTCATTGCGTGCCCCGTCACACATGTCCGAACTTGATTCCTCCGAGACCTGGGACCGAATGTGATATGGCCTTCCGGCCCGCTGGGTCGAAGCCGTGACGTCATTGTTGCACGCCACCGGTCGGAGGAACGAGCGGGCGCTACGAGGCCGTAGGAAGGTGTTTTGGAATTTACCTTTTGTTGAGTGGGTTGGAGCTTGTTGATAAACTACCTTTGCGCCTGTTATGTTATTGTTGTGTTATGCTGGCAGCTGGTTACTGTTAAATCCACGGTTTGGGCACATCAACAGATCAGCCGGAGTGACGAAGAGTGTGTGGAAGTAACGAGATGTTTGGATACCCCAGCAGGTGTACACCGAACGGGGGGGGGGGGGGGGGTACCGGCGCAATGGGCGCATGGTGTCACATGGCTGAGGTAGGGCTGAGGGTTCACTACGCCGCCCATGATGGCTTCCGATTCAGCTGAATCCTGTGAGCTGGTGAGCTGTTTGAAATGGCTGGAGTCGGTTCATTTCTGAAGTTGTCGCAAGAGGGCGCCGGTTGAGCCGCGATATGCGGGTGGTGAGCCGCCGTAATTGCCTGTGCTGACAAATGCCCCCCCCCCCCTTCCCTCCCCAAAAGAAAACGTGAACGGAATCAGGAACGGGCTTGCTGAGCGGTATTTCTAGCTGCTAATCGTGAAACCCGGTCTGAATGGACGTCCCGTGTTGGGCATCCCGTCTGACTGAGTGTCGGGACAGCCGGCATGACTGGGCGTCCCGCTCTGGGAATTCGGAGAGTCGCGTCAGCTTCCGGAGCCTGACGGCTCAGGACCACACCCAGCGTCGTGACGCGCCGCGAGAGATGCAGTAAAAAATGTGATGAAGATTGGGCGTGTCACACGTGGAGCAGGAGGATTGTCTCGCAGTGACAGTTGCTTTCTTGCTTGCTGTGGCAAAAGCAGGCCCAAGGCGAAAATGCTTCCGCGGTCGGTAGGACTCGAACCTACGCTCCCAGAGGGAATCTGATTTCTAGTCAGACGCCTTAACCACTCGGCCACGACCGCTCCATGTTCGGTGCCCTGCCACACAAGTATGAGATGAGTTCGAATGATTCGCATGCTGTTTCAAATATCTTAATGTTTGATATAAATGCTTAGGCATTGTCCAGCCACAAACTAACGCGAAACGATAAACATCATCCAAAACAAAAGTTGATGCCTCTGGCACATGAATAGTTCGGCGGAATATAAGTTGTTCATTCAACGACGCAACATAAAGCACTACCTTACGCTGAAATCAGTAACCTGCATGCCTCATGCCTTGTGCGGTCCAGGCAAACAACGTGGCAGTGAAGTCTATCGAGTTTGGTCCACCTAGCGTCCATAATCTTACTGGGAGTTGTAATTTATGTTCCTAGGTGGCGGTGCACGAGAAGGGGATTGTATCACGGGTGTCGAAACGTCATATTTATGTCGCATGAATCACCATTTCGGCACAACAAATCGCTGCATTACCCCCTTCTGCTCTAAACACGTCTTAGGCTACATTAGGAAATGGATACTTTTTAATCTTCCAATTGCAAAGCCGCATTACAACTTAAACTAAGCCGGAGTCGACCTGCATGTCGCAGCGCGATGGTGCCTGCGCCATGTTGTAATTCCCTTGTGGGTTCCGGGGCGGCGAAACAGTTACATGTCACCGTGGACGCTCGTCGTGTTCACTTCTTCGGGACACATTGCGGAACGTCGAACCTGGCGGGCATGGCTGAGATAACGACTGGCTAAGCCCTACATAAGTTCGACCGTGACGAGGATTATTGGACTTCACGCGTCCAGCAGCTGTCGAACCCATAATTACATTGTCCGTCATTTTTGTTGAACGCAAGACATGTGCGTGCCCCAGCTAAGTCAGGATAAAACATGAGTATACCAGATGCACTTTTACAAGGAACATATGGGTGTACCTGATGCATTTCGTAACAAAGGAAATATGAGTCGAGGGCACGAGGGTTACCGAGTTGAAAGTCGCATGGATTTGAGGGTCCCGACGAATTACTCCTGATAAGTTGAACGACTATGTTTATGTTAAAACGAAAAGACCCCATTTCTACACAGAAATATACAAAGAACACAAGTGCAGTGTCACCAGCTTGGGTACAGTGTCGTTACAACATGACGCTAGGTCACAGGATCGACTGGCGGGGGCAGCGACCAGCAGTCATCCGCCCTGCTCTCCTTAACCGCCGCTTCATCCCGAGTCCTGGCTACACCCCGCGTCATCTCGTCATCTCGTCATCTCGTCAAGCCGCGGCCGTCCGCGACGAGCCAGCTGCAGTGTCAGCTCCCTGCCGAGCAGCCACACAAGCCCCGCAGAAGGGGCCCCTGCACCGGGCCGGACTCCTTCCCGGGGCCCCACGGCGGCGGCAGTGTCGCCCCACCACGGACACACGATCGCCGTTCTTGCAACGGAGCTGAAATAGCCTAAACCAACCGACAAGGCTCCCATCAAAACTAATTACCCGGCCAAAAACTGAAGTACGCGAGCCAAAAGCTAACGCTAAATGGCACGCGATACTTAACTACAGTGACGTCACATCCATGGTTCAATGGCCACGCTGTCAAGATCCAGATGACCACATTACTCCATCCTTATTACTCCAGTCCGGTGAAGACCAACGCCACGTCATGAGACCCCACGACTGGCAACAAAGACCGTCAACCGCAGCGTCCCCCAAACGGCTTCCAGCGCACGCTCCGACACCCAGCGTTAACACATCACACGCCCACAAAGCCACCGTCCGGTCCGCCGGCGGACGCGCGGGACGAGGCACGGCGGCGGAACAAGGCTGTCGGCGGCGACCGGTGACCTCAGAGGGATGAGCGCCTGGCTACTGGTGGGTCACAGCCCCAGGCGTGTGACGTCGGCAGCCAGGTCACCAGGTCACCAGGTCAGCCAGGTCACGGTCTGTGCTGGGACCGGTGGGACAGCAGGTCGCTCAGGCGATTGGCCGGGTTTTGTGACGATCGCTGGTGTCACCGTTGGCATGTCAGCAGCTGCGCTCGACGCTGTGCTACGAGCCGGTCAAATGCTGCGGCGGCGTTGGTGATCTCCTGGCTGGAAGACCAAACATCATTTCTGCGGGAGCAGCGTCAGGTTGGAATCGCGGGCGACATCGCCAGCTCGCGCATCTCATTCCCCCGAGCGCAGCGGACGCCTAGGCGAGCCGGATTGCGAAATAATCGACCGCATGTGAATGTGAATATGGCAATGAGCAGTGCTCCCGCAGCCCTCATCAATACATTCTGAAAACTGATATGTTTATCACAGTCCAGCCGCACCAGTTCCCGCGATCCCGCGAGCGCAGCTCGTAATGACGCGAACGGCGCTGACGGCGGCCGCAAAGCGGCAGCTCGCCTAACTACGCAGCGGACGGCGGCTGCAAGCCAGCTCGACCTCAAGTCTGTCCTGAGGGTCACCGGCGGGCCTTGTCGCCGCCCGCGCCGCGCTGAGCTGCCGCGTGTTTCTCGCTAGTGACCCTCTCGCCCTGACCCGCCTCGCACTGGCCCCGGGCCGGTCGCCGCCGGCGCCGTTGACCGGGCGCCGGCAATGGCCGCTGCATCCGCAAACAAAGACGGCGCCGAGCTCTGGGGCCGCCCGTGGATACCGTCCCGCCCCAGCCACGCACAACCAGACACAGGTCCTGTCGGGGCTCGACGTCCCTATCGGCGCCCCTGCCGGGCCAGGGTGCGCCTTCGGTTGACTTGTGCGCCGCGGTTTCACCGTTGCACCGCCGGCCGGCGCTGGCCGGGCGGCGTTCAATTGACACGGTGGAGAAAATGCGTCACAGGCGGCGTTTACGCGCTGGGACGCAGCCAAAGTACCGCCAGCGACGGTGCAATCACAGAAATAAGGCTGGGGAATGCTGATGCTCGAGTTTTGGATGTTTTAGAAATCAGGACATGTGTGAATTGCCGGCGATGGTGGAGTCCAGAGCAAGCCATGTCCGCCCTGCTTTCTGAAACGAACAATGGAAATCGCGTATCTGTGGCGATACATTGAGTTATATAACACAAGGAGGAACAGAATTATCGTGAAGTGACACTCCATGTTACACCAATGCTCAACATGAATAATTTGACACCACTTGCACTGCATATCATGTGGAACTGCTACATGCTCTTTGGAACGCCTCCAAATCTAACTACAGAAAATCACCCGGAATGTGCTTGTGACTGGTCCCAGGTAAACGCGTGTGTCAACAGATTCGAGGGGTCGATAGTGGTCAAACTTGTCAAACATGAAGCTGATATATGTAGCTAACTATTTAGGTGGTCACATGCAGCAAATAACACATCAGTCGCTGCAATTTTATTAAGTTTTCTAAAGTTTTCATTTTTTGCCGCACAATCTTTTCACTTTGGATGCGAATATCTCGGCGCACGTAGGGGATCAAATCCTACCGTTTTAGCATAAGCAAGCCCGATTATTCCTCTATCGATTGCTGTGGCCAGATGATATCGGTCAGGGGGAGAATATAGCATTCTGACCCGTTTTCCAAAATTACAAACACAGATGGAGGCCGCTCGGCTCAGCTGAGCGAAGCCGCGGCGCTGCCATCGACTGGCGTACGGTAAGGTCGTCGGAGCGGTTACATATAGCCGCGCGGCCCGCTCCGTTTACAAACAGTCCGCAGCGTCGAACGTGGAAGCGGTGCAGGTCCGTGCAGGTCCGGAGGCATCAGATACTCGTCATGGCCGACGTCGCCGCAGCAGCCGCCACCCCGGTGAAGAAGGGCCGCAAGCCCAAGGAGGGAGGCGCCAAGAAGAAGGCGGCCAAGTCTTCTCGTCCTCCCACCCTGACGCTAATCACCAAAGCCATCAACGCCGAGAAGGATCCGAAGGGGACATCGGTGATGGCCATCAAGAAGTACATCTTGGCCAACCATAAGGTGAAGTCGTCCGTCATGCTGAACCACATGCTGCGGCGTGCCTTCGAAGCGGGCCTGAAAGCCGGCAAGTTTAGCCGCCCGAAGGGTCAGGGCGAGTCACACCTGCTCGCCGGCCGCTACCGCCTCGCCACGAAGGAGAAGAAGTCCGCGGCCGCTGTCAAGCCCAAGAAGCCCAAGTCGCCCAAGAAGGCGGCTGTCAAGAAGCCCAAGGCCAAGACGCCTAAGAAGAAGCCCGCGGCAGCAAAGAAGGCCAAGTCGCCGAAGAAGGTAAAGAAGTCGCCCAAGAAGCCGGCCGCCAAGAAGACGGCGGCGAAGAAGAAGACCCCCAAGAAGGCGGCAAAGAAGGCATAGGCAGTGCCAGCGCGGCAGCCTGAGGCTGAGTGTACAAACTGCACTGTACTTTATCATCGTCGCTCCGTGGCGTTGGCGTATTTTAATGCTTTACCGGCGGGCGGCGCGCACGAGTGCCCCGGCAGGGATCTCACATGTTGTTGATACTCGGAGCAGAGTATATATGCATCAACGCTGGACCTAGTTTTAGGGTCGTCGCATTGAACAAATACACGTATAAGCCAATGTGGCCTGTTGTTATTGCATGTTTCGCGAATGGACGAAGCGCTAAGACGCCACCCCACGGAAACATGGAACGAACCTGGACTGGCTTGAGGGCCGAGAACCCCACGGACGGGACGCAATTTAAAAGCTGCTAAATAAGTCCAAGTAAAGGACGCTTCATACTGATGAAGGGCTGCGAGCGGGCGGCTTGGGGGTGTCCAGCTGCCGATCAGACCTTTTCCTAGCGGACTAAGGGCCGAGGAGGCAATCATCAGCGCGCCGTCCCATCAGCCGCCAGCGGAGGCGCTGTCGGCGCCTGCTCACGTGGCTGATTCCCTCCCACCTAGGCTTCGTTTTGCTCCCCACCAACCAGTCATCATGAGTCGCGCCCCCCCCCCCCCCCCCCGGGGGGGGGGGCGCGAGGGGACGAGGGGACGCTGACTTACGTCCGGTCTGTTGGTCGGCGCGGTCAGAAGGCGGAGGGCCAGGGCGGCGTCCGTGCAGGTGCGCCGCCCAGGACCGGCTTCAGTGCTCCAACCCCGGGTGAGGAGAGGGCTGTTGAAGGGACAAGGGTCAAAGGATGCGGGATAACGAGTGTGGGGTAACATCGGGCAACGTGCGGAATGTGGGATGTATGGTAGGAAGTAAAAAGTAGGTGAGTTTTAGTGTTTTATAAACAAGCATAAACTAGCCTTTAACAAATCACGTATTGTTGCTGATTGGCGCTTTCGTGCGCGTTGACTGCCATGGCCATTTTGTGCTCAATAAAAGTAGCGTAAAATCCAAATAAAGTAAGAGCAGTAAAACGGAAGTTGGAGGTAGCATTCCAGACCGTCTGCAGGATAGTAATTAGAAACAAGAGGGCAGGACGATGTGGACACGGAGCTGGACATCTGGACACGGAACACGGGTCAGACTGCGGACTGCGGACGGAACCCAGACTGGTCCACGGGAGGGACACGGCCCATATCTGCGCCGGACAATGATGGACGCAGGCTGCCGCAAGAGCAGCGACGAAATAAACGCGGCACACTGTGAACTGCGGATTAGCTGGAAGCGCTGGAACTTGGAATTGGGAGTGGAAGTGGTCTTTTTTGCACCACATATTGAGGAGAAAGAGAGGTTAAGTAAAATTATTGAGCAGCATCACGTGACAAACGTGAGGCACTTCTTAACAGTCCATGCCACTACCAACGTTACCGCGGGCAACAATCTAATTGTATTTCAGTGATATACTTGTCACCAGTTCACGTCAATCTGATACACTGTCTGTAGTAATATTCAGCTCGTGTGCCCCCAGCCTGAGATACTGGCAGGTGCCCGCGCGAAACAACGCGCATGCAGGTCCACCACAACGGCTGCCTCCAATCGGCACACCGCGCCGTTTTCCCACTGCCGGTCCGACGGCGCGTCCACGCCGTCCTTTCGCACCTCATCCCCGCACGCCGCACACCATCACACGTCGCAAAATCACACCATCACACGTCGCACAACCACACCTCACACGTCGCACAATGCCGTGGCACGCAACCCAGCCGATCGGCGCCGCCTGGCGGCCGTCGTCGGCACATCCCGCGCCACCTAACGGCGGCCGTCTACGCCGCCAGCAGGGACTACCTCGTAGCGCGGGACCGGCGGCGCCCCGCGGCCGGCGCCGGCCCGTCAGCCATCGGCGGGCAGAGACGGACGGCGCTGTGGCGGGGCCTCCTCCGCGCCCGACAGGCCGGCGGCGGCCACCGTCTCGGCCAGCGGCCTGACGGCGTACTGGCGGAACGGGTGCCGCTCGCGCTCGACGTGCACCTCGGCCAGCCAGCGCGGGTAGCGCAGCAGAAACTTGCGCACCGAGTCCGCGAACGAGGGCTGCTGGGCGGCGCGGGGTGGTGGCCGACCGCGCTCCTGCCGGGGCAGGGGCTGGGTTAGAGGAGAGCAGCTCCTGCCGGGGCAGGGGCCGGGTCAGAGGAGAGCAGCTCCTGCCGGGGCAGGGGCTGGGTCAGAGGGGAACAGATCCTGCTAGGGTGGTGGCTGGGTCAGACAGGAACAGCTCCTGCTGGAGTGGGGGCTGGGTCAGAGGGGAACAGCTCCTGCTGGAGTGGCGGCTGGGTCAGGGGGGAACAGCACCTGCTGGGGTGGTGGCTGGGTCAGAGAGGAACAGCTCCTGCTGGGGTGGTGGCTGGGTCAGAGGGGAGCAGCTCCTGCCAGGGCAGGGACTGGGTCAGAGAGGAACAGCTCCTGCTGGGGTGGCGGCTGGGCCAGAGGGGAACAGCACCTGCTGGAGTGGGGGCTGAGTCAGAGGGGAACAGTTCCTGCTCGAATGGGGGCTGGGTCAGAGGGGAACAGCTCCTGCTGGAGTGGGGGCTGGGTCAGAGGGGAGCAGCTCCTGCTGGAGTGGGGTCTGGGTCAGAGAGGAACAGCACCTGCTGGAGTGGGGGCTGAGTCAGAGGGGAACAGCTCCTGCTGGAGTGGGGGCTGGGTCAGAGGGGAACAGCTCCTACCGGGGCAGGGGCTGGGTCAGAGGGGAACAGCTCCTGCTGGGGTGGCGGCTGGGTCAGAGAGGAACAGCTCCTGCTGGGGTGGCGGCTGGGTCAGAGGGAACAGCTCCTACCAGGGGCAGCCGAGCCGCTGGGGTCCAGAGGGGAACAGCTCCTGCTGGGGTGGCGGCTGGGTCAGAGAGGAACAGCTCCTGCTGGGGTGGCAGCTGGGTCGGAGAGGAACAGCTCCTGCTGGGGTGGCGGCTGGGTCAGAGGGGAACAGCTCCTACCGGGGCAGGGGCTGGGTCAGAGGGGAACAGCTCCTGCTGGGGTGGCGGCTGGGTCAGAGAGGAACAGTCCTTGATGGGGGTGGCAGCTGGGTCAGAGAGGAACAGCTCCTGGCTGAGGTGGCGGCTGGGTCAGAGGGGACAAGCTCCTACGGGGCAGGGGCTGGGTTCAGAGGGGAACAGCTCCTGCTGGGGTGGCGGCTGGGTCAGAGGAGGAACAGCTCCTGCTGGGTGGCGGCTGGGTTCAGAGGGGACAGCTCCTACGGTGGCAGGGCTGGGTCAGAGGGGAACAGCTCCTGCTGGGGTGGCGGCTGGGTCAGAGAGGAACAGCTCCTGCTGGGGTGGCGGCTGGGTCAGACAGGAACAGCTCCTGCTGGGGTGGCGGCTGGGTCAGAGAGGAACAGCTCCTGCTGGGGTGGCAGCTGGGTCAGAGAGGAACAGCTCCTGCTGAGGTGGCGGCTGGGTCAGAGAGGAACAGCTCCTGCTGGGGTGGCGGCTGGGTCCGACGGGGACAACTCCTGCTGGGGTGCGGGCTGGGTCAGACAAGAACAACTACTGCTGGGGTGCGGGTTGGGTCAGAGGGGAACAAAACTGCGACCTGACCCATCCACTCCATCGAACTAACACACACAAAGCCGCGACGATGGCTTGATACAGGTCGCAGCGAGGTACCCCAAACTATTCGGAATGGTTGACAATTACACGCTAGTGTCGTCACTGCTGCTAGTTCGTCATTGGCTTTACCAAACCATGCCGGCAAAAAAGTTTAGTTTCCTGAAACAGGGGTTCGGATCAGAGGCTCTAGATAAAAAAGCCACCTTAACACCTCGACCACTTGTATGATCTTTCTCCAGTCCGGTAACACACCACCCTGCCCAGAACCACCCCACCCACCCTGCCCAGTTACCCGACCCGTTCGGCTTCGTGTGCCCTGCCCCACCCTGCCTCAGAAACCATCTCGTCGCTCTTTTGCGTCTCGCCTCATCCTCTCACGTAACATGACTCACCCTATCAGGTGACCTGACTCATTCTCCGATACAGTATGACTCACCCTTTCATACAGTGTGACTCACCCTCCCGCACAGTATGACTCACCCTCTCACGCAACCTTACTCAACCCATCAAGCGATCTGACTCACCCTCATATAAAGTATGATTCACCCTCTCACGTACCTGACTCACTCACTCAAGTGATCTGACTCACACTCATATGGTCTCACTCACCTTTTCACACGATCTGACTCACCCTCTCACCTGATCTGACTCACCCCCTGGCGCGATCTGACTCACTCTCTCACATGATCTGACTCATCGTGCCGCGCGACCTGGCCCACCACATTCCATACGACCCAGCTGACACTGCCCCGCGCGCCCCGTCTCACCGCGGCCACCGTCATCTGCCGCAGGTTCAGTCGCAGCTCCTCCAGCTGCAGCAGAACGCGCCGTTCGGGCGCCACCTGGTGCTCGATGAAGGCCTCCATGACGGCCAGTGCCCTCTGCGGGTCGGCGGCGCGCACCGCGCTGTTCAGCAGGGTCGTCAGCATCTCCACGTTCGGCCTGCGAAGCAAGACCGCGTCAGAGGCCCGACAGACGACACTGCCAGAGGCTCTACAGACGACACTCTTAGAGGCCGAACAGACAACACTGTCGGGGGCCCCACAGACGACACTGTCAGAGGCCCTAAAGACAACACCGTAAGAGATCCTCCAGACGACACCGTCAGAGGCCGGACAGACAATGTCAGAGGCCCTAAAGACGACACTGTCAGAGGCCTTACAGATCACACTGTCAGAGACTCTACAGGCCACACTGTCAGAGGCCCTACAGACGACACTGTCAGAGGCCCTACAGACGACACTGTCAGAGGCTCTACAGACGACAATGCCAGAGGCCCTACAGACGGCACTGTAAGAGGCCCTACAGACGGCACTGTCAAGAGGCCCTGCAGACGACCTTGTCAGATCTCGGACGACACTGTCAGGCCCCTGTCAGACTGTTAGTGTTGGTGCCGGAACGACGCCGTGTCCCGTGCCCGTGCCCGTGCCCGTGCCCGTGCCCGTGCCTGTGCCCTTGCTGCGCCGCCGCCTCGGAAGCCGTACCTGACGTCGGCCGCCCGCAGCGTCTCCCAGAAGCTCGCCAGGTCTCGGCCGTTCCGCACAGTCATGGCCAGGCAGCCGAACGAGGCGACATCTGGCTGCAGCGCGCGCGCCTCCAGCTCGCGGAACGCTGACTGCGGCGGTGGCGCGCGCCGTCAGTGGTGAGAGCGCGGTCAAGTGAACACGCACGAGCACGGACGAGGGTCGGCACAGGCCGCGCGTTTCGCAGAGAGGTAGCAAAGGTAGGTGCACGCCAGATGATATGCACTTAACTGGTGCACTTTCTAAAATCAACTGGAGCCAATCCACTGAAATGATGACAAGTGGAAGACATTCTACGGCTTCGACCGGCAAGTCCCCGCATCCAGTTATCAAAAGACTTCACAAGATGAAGCCAGTTCACGTTCTGTCAGGCCAATCTAGCGCACATGCATGCAGCATCACTGCACCTTCGCAGCAGCGTTCCTCCGGCTGCTCGCACGCTTCTTCATCAGCTGGTTGAAAAATCCCACATCAGGGGCCACGTCCAGGGCGTCCATGGTCCGAATAAGACACTGAAACAGCACGCCGGGCTTCGGTGTGACAGCCACAGGACCAGCTGACGCCATCGAGCACACCATGCGAGGGCCGATGGGCCAGCCCACGGGCTAGAGCCGACCGTCACGTGCGAGCAGGAGTTGAGCCATCGGGCAACAGGCTGCCGTCGGATAGCAGCGCCATCTAACAACGGCTGTTGATTATTGGGGTGTCAGGCGCGTCTGCTGCAGTGGTCATTTGGCGTGAATGACTTTTTCCCTAAACCCGCATTGTTCCAAGTGACACCCTTTCTCTCTTTCTGTCCATCCCGGGGTCAGTGGCGCAGGTCCCAGCCCGAGAGGCACCTGCTCTTGGTCCTCATCGTGCGGCATCATCTTCAGCAGGATGGAGAACGTCTTGATGTCGGGCAAAATGCCGTCGGCAGCCATTGTCTGGAGCACGCCGACCCAGCCGCCGAGCAGGGCCAGCCTGTGACGAACAACAAGGGTGTGACCGTGACGAACATCGGGAACAGGAGAGCACCTCGGGTTTAGTCAGGGGGGGGGGGGGGGCGCCGGAGGTAAATGTTGTAAGAGATTACCACACAGCCTGCTCCTACTTCTTCACCCCCACCTTTCAAGTTTTCTACCGGCGTTGGTCATATCATATCTAGGCCTGCCCTCATCCCAATTCACAAACAAGAAGTGATAGTAGGCATATTTCATGGTTTTGTCAGTATGGTTTTTCAGAGATGCACAATATCTAAGCCTCAGACTTACCCGGTTACACTTTGCGGTCACTTCTAGGTAGATGATAGTCAAAACACAGTGTTAGCAGCAGAGACTGCATATCTTTGACAGGTGTGGCAGGGTGGTGGTTTTTCAATCTCGACAGCTCATATGAGGCGGGCCCAAGCCCCCCACCCCTTCCTTCGAGTGCGCCTTTGACCGGGAGCCGGCAAATGCAGTGCCTCTCCGAACCGGCGGCAACTGGTCACGTTCTGGCCCGAGGAGACGGCACGAGGAGATTCACCTGTCCCTGACCACCCCGCCGTCCCACGTCGCTCCAGCCTATGGGAGCCGCCGCCGGGACGGCCCGCGACACCCGCTCACCTGGCCGCCGGCGTGTTCAGGTGCCGGAGCCGCACCAGACCGCCGCGGCTCGGGCGGCGCGAGAGCAGGTCTGGCAGGTCGCCGCCGCCGCCGGCGGCCGCCTCCAGCGCCCCGGCCGTCCGCAGGCCCTGCAGCAGTTTCGGCTCCTCGGGTCGGGCCGGACGCTCTGGCGGCGCTGGTAGCGCCCGGCCCGTTGGCGGGCCGCCGGCGATTGCGTCGCCCGGCGGCGGCGGCGACACTATCATTTCCATCGCCTGCTCAAAGATGGCAGTGTCGCCGGCGCCGCACTCCAGCGCCGTCCGCAGCAGAAGGTTGTAAAGGAAGATGGTGGGCGGCACGTGCTTCGTCCGCAAGCGATGCCACACCTGCAGGGGAGATTCAAAGTCAGAACGCACCCGAGAAACCATCTGTATGGCCTCCGCGGAGACCACAATCTGGTTCATCTAGTAGCCCACAGAAGCACGATTGGGCAACTTAAACAACGTCCAGTCATAACTCATGGCCTCAGGGAGGGGGGGGGGGGATGGCAACAATACACCGAGAACGTGACGAACCCCAAGCGCAATCTCCCCAGACCGGCCAGATAGCATCGCTTCCTTCCCCCTCCTCCCTCTGGTCCCACCCACCCACACCATACACGCCCGGGTGGACGGGCGGATGGGTGGGTGGAGGGGGGGCGGCTCACCAGCAGGGCGTGCCGGTAGCCCTGGTCCGCGTCGCCGACGCAGGCGTGCAGCAGCGCGCAGGCCAGGTCGGCGCTCAGCGGGTGGCCCAGCCGCAGCGCCTCGTCCGCCGTCTCGAACGCCCGCTCCAGCTGGCCGCACCGGCCGTACGCTGCCCCGCACAGGTCACACAGGTCAGAGGTCAAAAAGGTCATAGAAGTCGCACAGGTCACGTAAACCACGAGAATTGCACACGTCACACGGGTCGTATATATCATGCGGTCTCAAGTGTCACGAGGGTCACATATGTCATAAGCGTCTCAAGGGTCACAAGGGTCACACGCTATAAGCACCTCAAAGGTCACAAGGGTCACAAATGTAATAAACGTCTTGAGGTCCAGTATGCTGACCTCTATATCAGATACAGCACTTTTCATTTTAAAACCAAATAGTGCAAACTGCAATCGGTCGGCATCACCTTTTTTAAATAGCTAGGTAGCTAGTTAGAATTTCCTGCATAGCCATAAAAAATCGTTACATCATAAATATATAATTTCACGAGGACTTCACCCAATTCGGCCACATAATTGAATCGAAAACCGCCCCATTGCCTTCGAGCCTGGCTTGATTTGAATCCGCGGCTTTGATGTCATTCAGAGCCCAATTTGGTTTAATTCCTACTGAATGCACTGGATGAATCAACACAAACTCGACTTAAATTAGCGTCACGTCATAGGTGGCCCTAATGGCTCGAAGGCTGGCTTCGAGGACCGATGGAGGTGCGGAGTAAAACTGTCCTCTGGGGGGGGGGGGGGAGGAAACAGCCCCAAAGTCGTCGAAACCGTCCAGAATCTGGCCTTTATCTAGGCTCAGGAGAGAATAGTGGGGAAGAAGGGGGGCATGACCCCAAGCCCCTCTTTGCTATGTCCCTGGACTGATATCATGAATGAGAGTGAATGGCATTCCTCGCGCTCAGTAGAACTGTGCTTCGAGTACCGAAATGCTGATAACACGCGACGAAATCCTAACCATGAAAACACAGCTTTATGATGGCATGTTGGCAGCATCGTAGCATGACAAACATGAAAGACATTAAAGCAACAGGAGCAGCCAAAGACTTCCTAAACATTTACACCAAGCTGATTTATTCATGTCATAACTTTAAATTCGCAGACAAACACCTGGTGCTGGAGAGAGCGTTCTAAAGGTTACAACCGTACAACAGTGCCTTTCCAGCCTTTCATCCAGCCGCTGCACATCATTTATTTCTTACATTTTAACAGCGATGCTACATGTTCTCACAGCGGGGCGCTGACTCTGATCTGTACCCCTCTTTAAAAAGAAGCCTTCATTCGCCTTATGATCCCAATGCAGCGCCGGAGCTAGCACCAGACAGCCGTCACACGGCGACGGGGGGGGGGGGGGGGGGCCCCGGCGCGGGGCAGCGGCCACCTCATCTGGCGACAGTCTGGGGTAGTGGGCACGAGCCGACCGGAACGCGCGGGGCGAGACAGGGGCGGGACGGGATGGGACTATACAGCAGGATCAAGGGTTTGGCGTGGCGGGCAGGGCAGGGCAGGGCAGAGCAGGGCAGAGCAGGACAGGGCAGAGCAGGGCAGGACAGGACAGGACAGGACAGGACAGGACAGGACAGGACAGGACAGGACAGGACAGGACAGGACAGGACAGGACAGGACAGGACAGGACAGGACAGGGAAGGCAGGGGAAGGCAGGGGAAGGCAGGGCAGGGCAGGGCAATGCAGTGCAGTGCAGTGCAGGGCAGGGCAGGGCAGGGCAATGCAGTGCAGGGCAGGACAGGGCAGGGCAGGGCAGGGCAGGGCAGGGCAGGGCAGGGCAGGGCAGGACAGGGACGGGCAGGACAGGGTAGGACAGGACAGAATAAGGCAGGGAAGGCTACGGCTCGGCAGACCTGTGGTCGATCTAAGATGATTCTATTAAAGGGAATGTTTCACTCAGAGATATTGAAGCAAACATCAGATATGATGAAACAAGTTCACTTATAACTATTTGTCTACTATTTAAGTGGAAAAAACTGCTCTCGATAGCACCATTCCCTGTTGAGTGAATATGTTCTTCAATGCGTTGTGGTTTGACTACGTTATCGTACCTTGCACAACATTGATTGAGTCAGTTGGCGGTCGTTATATCTGGAAATCGTGCTTACGAGTGCCAGATATGAAAGTCTCGACAATTATATTTCCTTGGCCTTGATCACCGCATGGCTTGTGGAATGGCAGGGTTTGAATGACATTATGTCGTCATGAATGGAAGGTGACTTCGAAATGCTCTCTCCGATATACCTTTCGCCATTTCTGCGGGCGTGTAGCTCAGAAACTAGAGGGACTTAGGTCTTAAGAAGAACAGGATGGTGAACAGCATCAAAAAGTCTTCAAGATGGCTATTTCCGTTCAAATATAACACAACTGTGGAGCACTCCATGTAATCGTTCATGACAAGTGAATCAATTGTTTTGTTAACAGTTTAAAAATAAACTTTGAGTCAAATCATTGGCATTCCTCAAAAAAAGCTTCTTTGAATCGAGAAAAGTCAACGTGAAGATCGAATGAACTGATAAATGATTCATTTTTTAATCGGCACACAGACGGGATCATCAATACACAAAAAGCATTACTGTAGAAATGATGTGCACAAATGATTTATCAATTAAAACTCATCAAAAATCAGTATGCAAAGATTGAATGTGCGACGAATTCAAGTTGAATCGATTCATGCACTGAACTTATTTTGATCAGGCAGGAACCATTCAATTGGGATGTGAATCAACAATCAATTCGCAAAAAAAACATTACTTGAATAGGATTCGAATTGTTCAACGCGAATCGTGCCACGAGCCAATGGTGAATTGATCCTAAAACAAACAAAAAATGAATTGAGCACACGTCTGCGGTTAGGGCCGGGCATGGCAGAGCACGCGAGGCGCAGGGAACGACGACAAAGGATGGCTCAGCGGCGGACAGTCCGGGACGGGGCCGAGGCATGACGGCCCAGGACGGGACAGGGGCACGACAGACCAGCAGAGGACAGCCCAGGACGGGACGGGGGTCTAAAAGACCAGCAGAGGACGGCCCAGGACGGGACATGAGTCTGACAGACCAGCAGAGGACGGGTCAGGGGTCTGACAGACCAGCAGAGGACGGCCGAGGACGGGTCAGGGGCACGACAGACCAGCAGAGGACGGCCCAGGACGGGACAGGGGTCTGACAGACCAGCAGAGGACGGCCCAGGACGGCAGAGCGCCAGCGCGGCCGCTCCGGCGCGCCGGTGTCACAACTGGTGCATGGCCCACCGGCACGGGAGCGACTGATGTAACGGTGCCCGTCCCGCCGGGACGTGCAAGCAGCAGCTCGGACCGACGTTACCACCAGGCGGCCGGCTAACGGACCACGGTCGAGAAGGATGGCTCGCCGGCCGGACCTGAGGACCACCAGTGGTGTACGCACGTGGTAGCCCCTTGGGGCACGCGAACCCCCCACCCCACAAATCCAAATTATGTCGTGTGTTAAAGGTATACGACGGGCTGCTGACAATTATAAATTCCAGGTAAACACGAAAAATGAGAAGATCGGTGACAAGCGATCCTGTTTTAAGACTCCCATTGAAATTGCGCTCGCCTCCGGCGCGCTAAACTCGGCTTTCCGAACAAATGTCTGAGTTGTGACCCCCAAATTGTAAAATTCTGCGTTCGCCCCCGAGAACGACAGATCACAGGTCGGAGGCCGGACTGGGACTGCAGCCCCTAGTAGCATGTGCGACGGGAAGCTAACGATGCAGGTCGGGAACCGCGGAGCTTTCCACGTAGCGTCACAGGGCGATACATCGTGATCAAAATGGCAGACTTTTCATCGCCGGTAGTCACATTCGAGTTACATATGCCGCCGCCGCAACAAAGGCCATGCATCTGCCACAAAAACACGGCGCCCCCGCTGGACCTCTCCATTACGAACCATTCAGTATGGGGTTAACGACGCGCCCGGGTCGGGTGCGTACCGCGCGCCCGCCCTCACGGCCGGTTCAAACGCTGGACGTTATTGATTGGTGTGACGTCACGCGTCCCGCCGGCCGCCGGCCAATAAAATCCCAGCCCCGCCGTCACGTGGTCGGTAACGTACGTTACACACGCCACCCGCCCCCCCCCCCCCCCCCCGCCCCGCCCGCGTCTGTCAGCGTGGCGACGGAACAGGAGGGACTCTGGGCGGGCTGCCCCCAGGCGTCACGGAATGGTAAACAAGCCGGCGAACAAGGCCAACGCGCAAGGCGCCACTTCCAATCGCGCCCCATTAGCATGGTATCTGCCACCGGTTGGGTAACGCTGTTTGACACCGTGTGAAACCGCTCTGACACCGCTCCGACACCATGTGACACCACTGACACCGTTCCGACACCATATGACATCGCTCTG